ATTGTCAATTTCTCCACTTTTTTATTGAAGGCTAAATAAGCGAGGAAAATGTGTTTCACGATACTTTAGAGCCTTTCTAGGCTATAAAAACAAGAAGTTTAAAAAGTCGAAAAATGGGAGTTTTTCCAAAGGGGTTAGTCCATGGTTTTGGTCTAAAAGTATCAGTTTTTCCATCCTTTTGTTTTAAGCAAAAAAATGCCAGGAAAAAGTGTTTTACCATATTCTACAAAGAAAAAAAGTCTTTCTACGCTTTAAAATCATCGCCAATTGATGAGCTAATAAATCCGCAAAGATTCACTCACAAAAGCACTGATCGCAACGATCGCTAGAGAGCAAGGTTGTATGTGGTTTGCCCCTGCGAAGTCTAAAGGGGCGCCCCCACAGGTCATGTGGAAACCGGGCGAGACCGTTGGCAGCATTAGCACGTGATTAACCTTGCCTAAATTACATTTAGCCACATAAAAAACAAGAAGTTCAAAAAGTCGAAAATTTTCAATTTTTCAAAAGAGGTTAGTCCATGGTTTTGGTCAAAAATTGTAAGGTTTTCCATCCTTTTATTTAAGGCAAAATAGGCCAGAAAAATGTGTTTCACGATATTCTAGAAAGAAAAAACGCTTTTTGAGGACGATAAAAATAAGAAGTTTAAAAGGTCGAAAATTTGTATTTTTCGCAAAGGGGTTAGTCCATGATTTTAGTCAAAAATTGGCAATTTTTCCATTTTTTTAAATTTAGGCAACATTGGCCAGGAAAATATGTTTCACGATATTCTAGAATGAAAAAACCTTTTTGTAGACCATAAAAACAACAACTTAAAAAAGTTGAAAATTTCAAATTTTTCTGAAGGGGTAAGTCAATGGTTTCGGTCAAAACATGTCAATTTCTCCACTCTTTTATTGTAGGCTAAATAAGCCAGGAAAATGTGTTTCAAGACATTGTAGAAAGAAAGAACGTCTTTCTACGCCATAAAAACAAGATGTTCAAATAATGGAAAATTTAGAATTTTTCCAAAGAGGTTAAGCCATGGTTTGGTCAAAAATTGTCAAGTTTTCCATCCTTTTATTTAAGGCAAGATAGGCCAGAAAAATGTGTTTCACGATATTTTAGAAAGGAAAAACGCCTTTTGTAGACTATAAAAACAAGAAGTTTAAAAAGTCGAAAATTTGTATTTTTTTTTTAAAGGGGTTAGTCCATGATTTTTGGTCAAAAATTGGCAATTTTTCCATTTTTTTTTTTAGGCAAAATAGGCCAGGAAACTGTGTTTCACGATATTCTAGAATGAAAAAAACATTTTTCTAGACCATAAAAATATCAAGTTAAAAAAGTTGAAAAACTGAACTTTTTCCAAAAGGGTAAGTCAATGGTTTTGGTCAAAACATGTCAATTTCTCCATTGTTTTATTGTAGGCTAAATAAGCCAGGAAAATGTGTTTCACGATAGTTTAGAGAGGAAAAATGTCTTTCTACGCTATAAAAAGAAGAAAATTAAAGAGTCGAAAAATTGGAGTTTTTCCAAAGGGGTTAGTCCATGGTTTCGGTCAAAAAAGTGGCAATTTTTCCATGTTTTTATTTTTTTAGGCAACAGAGGCCAGGAAAATGTGTTTCACGATAATCTAGAATGAAAAAACATTTTCCTACACCATAAAAAACAACTACTTAAAAAGTTGAAAAATTGAAATTTTTTCAAAGGGGTAAGTCAATGGTTTTGGTCAAAAATTGTCAATTTCTCCACTCTTTTATTGTAGGCCAAAAAGCCAGGAAAATGTGTTTCACGATATTTTAGAAAGGAAAAATGCCTTTCTAGGCTATGAAACAAGAAGTTTAAAAAATCGAAAAATGGGAGTTTTTCCTAAGGGGTTAGTCCATGGTTTTGGTCTAAAAGTATCAATTTTTCCATCCTTTTGTTTTAGGCAAAAAAGGCCAGAAAAATGTGTTTCACGATATTCTAGAAAGAAAAAGCATCTTTCTACGCTTAAAAAACAAGAAGTTCAAGAAGTCGAAAATTTTCAATTTGTCAAAAGAGGTTAGTCCATGGTTTTGGTAAAAAATTGTTAAGTTTTCCATCCTTTTATTTAAGGCAAAATAGGCCAGAAAAATGTGTTTCACGATATTCTAGAAAGAAAAAACGCTTTTTGAGGACGATAAAAATAAGAAGTTTAAAAGGTCGAAAATTTGTATCTTTTGCAAAGGGGTTAGTCCATGATTTTGGTCAAAAATTGGCAATTTTTCCATTTTTTTAAATTTAGGCAACATTGGCCAGGAAAATATGTTTCACGATATTCTAGAATGAAAAAACCTTTTTGTAGACCATAAATACAACAACTTAAAAAAGTTGAAAATTTCAAATTTTCCCGAACGGGTAAGTCAATGGTTTCGGTCAAAACATGTCAATTTCTCCACTCTTTTATTGTAGGCTAAATAAGCCAGGAAAATGTGTTTCAAGACATTGTAGAAAGAAAGAACGTCTTTCTACGCCATAAAAACAAGATGTTCAAATAATGGAAAATTTAGAATTTTTCCAAAGAGGTTAAGCCATGGTTTGGTCAAAAATTGTCAAGTTTTCCATCCTTTTATTTAAGGCAAGATAGGCCAGAAAAATGTGTTTCACGATATTTTAGAAAGGAAAAACGCCTTTTGTAGACGATAAAAAGAAGAAGTTTAAAAAGTCGAAAATTTGTATTTTTTTGCGAAGGGGTTAGTCCATGATTTTTGGTCAAAAATTGGCAATTTTTCCATTTTTTTGTTTTAGGCAAAATAGGCCAGGAAACTGTGTTTCACGATATTCTAGAATGAAAAAACATTTTTCTAGACCATAAAAATATCAAGTTAAAAAAGTTGAAAAACTGAACTTTTTCCAAAAGGGTAAGTCAATGGTTTTGGTCAAAACATGTCAATTTCTCCATTGTTTTATTGTAGGCTAAATAAGCCAGGAAAATGTGTTTCACGATAGTTTAGAGAGGAAAAATGTCTTTCTACGCTATAAAAAGAAGAAAATTAAAGAGTCGAAAAATTGGAGTTTTTCCAAAGGGGTTAGTCCATGGTTTCGGTCAAAAAGTGGCAATTTTTCCATGTTTTTATTTTAGGCAACAGAGGCCAGGAAAATGTGTTTCACGATAATCTAGAATGAAAAAACATTTTCCTACACCATAAAAACAACTACTTAAAAAAGTTGAAAAATTGAAATTTTTTCAAAGGGGTAAGTCAATGGTTTTGGTCAAAAATTGTCAATTTCTCCACTCTTTTATTGTAGGCCAAAAAGCCAGGAAAATGTGTTTCACGATATTTTAGAAAGGAAAAATGCCTTTCTAGGCTATGAAACAAGAAGTTTAAAAAATCGAAAAATGGGAGTTTTTCCTAAGGGGTTAGTCCATGGTTTTCGTCTAAAGGTATCAATTTTTCCATCCTTTTGTTTTAGGCAAAAAAGGCCAGGAAAATGTGTTTTACGATATTCTAGAAAGAAAAAACAAGAAGGTCAAGAAGTCGAAAATTTTCAATTTTTCAAAAGAGGTTAGTCCATGGTTTTGGTAAAAAATTGTTAAGTTTTCCATCCTTTTATTTAAGGCAAAATAGGGCAGAAAAATGTGTTTTACGATATTCTAGAAAGAAAAAAACGCTTTTCGAAGACGATAGAAACAAGAAGTTTAAAAGGTCAAAAATTTGTATTTTTTCCAAAGGGGTTAGCCCATGATTTTGGTCAAAAATTGGAATTTTTCCATTTTTTTTATTTTAGGCAACATTGGCCAGGAAAATGTGTTTCACGATATTCTAGAATGAAAAAAACATTTTTCTAGACCATAAAAACAACAACTTAAAAAAGTTGAAAAATTGAAATTTTTCCGAAGGGGTAAGTCAGTGGTGTTGGTCAAAAATTGTCAATTTCTCCACTCTTTTATTGTAGGCTAAATAAGCCAGGAAATGTGTTTCACGATATTTTAGAAAGGAAAAATCCCTTTCTAGGCTATAAAAACAAGAAGTTTAAAAAGTCGAAAAATGGGAGTTTTTCCTAAGCGTCCATGGTTTTGGTCTAAAAGTATCAATTTTTCCATCCTTTTGTTTTAGGCAAAAAAGGCCAGGAAAATGTGTTTCACGATATTCTAGAAAGAAAAAAGTCTTTCTACGTTAAAAAAACAAGAAGTTTAAAAAGTCAAAAAATTACAATTTTTCCATAGAGGTTAGTCCATGGTTTTGGCCAAAAATTGTCAAGTTTTCATCCTTTGATTCAAGGCAAAATAGGCCAGGAAAATGTGTTTCACGATATTGTAAAAAGAAAAAACGCCTTTTGTAGACGATAAAAACAAGAAGTTTAAAAAGTCGAAAATTGGTATTTTTTGCAAAGGGGTTAGTCCATGATTTTGGTCAAAAATTGGCAATTTTTCCACCTTTTTATGTTAGGCAACAAAAACGGTTTTCTAGACGATGAAAACAAGAAGTTAAAAAAGTTAAAAAATTGAAATTTTCCCAAAGGAGCTAGTCCATGGTTTTGGTCAAAAATTGTCAGTTTTTTTATGTTTTTTTTTTTAGCAACAATAGGCCAGGAGAATGTTTCACGATATTCTCGAAAGAAAAAACGCCTTTCTAGAGTATAAAAACTTGAAGTTAAAAAAGGCCAAAAAATTTGCACGCAAAGGAAGGCGGTAAGAAGAAAACGGGTGACTGATTTTCATCCATGCCATAGTCCCTTGCGCTTCGTCACCAGTCACTAGCGTGTCACTTGTGTTTCGAGTTTCCCTCTGTGGGAACAAAGAAGCGCTTGAGGAAGACACTGGTAACACTCAGTCACTTAATGACAATTACAGGCTTTATTCTAAGGCAAACCAAGAATTTACTACTTTACAAAATACATTATTCCCAAGAAATAAAAATAATTTACTATTCGTTTTTACAAGAACCATCAAGCAAAAGTGGCGTAGCCGAGAGCTGATAAGTCAAGTCGCATAAATCCTACTATACTTAGATAAATTAATCTAAAAAAAGCTTGACTCGACATTCATCATAATTAGCAATAGAGATCCTTGAAATTTTCATAGATAAGGGCATGGAAAACGAACAAGGAAAAATGGCATCTGCTCAGCGTTAATACAGTTTGTCTCGGCAAAACAACAAAAAAGTGCCTACACCACTATGGTACAGCAGTTCCATTTAAACTATTCTAAATCGTTACAACTAGAGGTGAGAAGGGCAGGTGAATCCCTTAAAACCCTAAGGATTCTCCAGAGTTGCGTGAAAACGCTACTCTAGAGAATCCTTATGGTTTTAAGGGGTTCACCTGCCCTTCCCACCTCTAAAATTTTCATCGGGGACGAGAGCAGTTTAGACACGGAACGCAGAAGTATAGCTTATTCCAGCAAATTCACTCTCATAAATACAAAGCTTAACATTGCATCTATCTTGTTAAAATCTCTCACAAGGTTAAAAATTATATATCAATATCTTATAACGTTTCACTTGACTAAATTAATCTAAAATTGCTATTTCTGACATGCGGAAACCATTCAATCATTTCTTCCACCAGCCATTATTATTAAAAATTTCCACAATTTGTTGACTTAGTTCAAAAGTATCGTGAACTGGGAAATGTGTATCTGCTAATCCAAATGCCATCTTATCATAGTGTGTTCTACTACATATGGTTCCAAAGAGTATTAAAATGTACAATTCTAATTAATTTTCCAAAATCAGGCACGATAAGGAATTGACTAAAAGGAAAAATAATGAAAAATGCTGCAGTTTGTTAGCACCGTGGCTATAAAAAAACTTAAGAAACGAACGAAAAAGAAAAAAAACAAAGTGAAACGGTCAACTTGTAGCAGTGCTGGTCCTCCCTACCTTTACGCAACTGTGACACCATCTACCACTGGGAAACAATGTGTGCTCCCAAAACTGCCACAATGAACTTGTGATGTGTAGATAAACTATACGCTTGGCTGTTTACGAAATATAAAAGTACAACTGATGCTCTTGCGGTGACCAAAATTGCATAACTGAAATGTCCCTGACTTCCTGTCTGAAGGTCATAGTGGAAAGATCTAAAAAGCAACGCTGAAAGAATCTTGTCTTGATTACTCTGTCCTCATTGAGTTCTAGTGTACTTTGTTTATGGCTTACTGTACTGTCCTTTCGTAATAACATTTCCCCTTGAACTGCTCTTGAACTGGAACTTATTTCAATGACATATATCAGAAGTGGATTCTTTATCATATCGTTGATGAAGCTTGTAATTTGTAGTCGCTCGTATTTGTCGCAGCACATCAAACGTTCATATTTTGCAACTTTTCCACCCAGATTTTAGCTTCTTCAGGACTCTCGCACATGAGATTGTAGACTCGCTTTGTTGTTCTTAGCTGTTAAAGGTCAAAGAGCCCATGGATTAAAAGAAAAGCTTCCTCTCAAGTCAGATTTTCACTATAAAAAAGGTCTTTATTAGACCGTTCAGTCCCTCTTTTTCCGCAAGACCGTCGAGATCGAGTGCTTTGCGTAACGGACGTCCATCTTGGATGAGTGTCAAATCTACTTAGGGGGCGAAAGGGGAGGGGGGGGGGAGGCGCTTTTTGGGAGGAGAAGTTTGTTTTCGCAGGTTACCTACCTACCTTTTTTTGCGGTGGGTGGCCACCGCAAAAAACCACACCGCTCCCTTTGCACTTATCAAACCAAGATGTCCGCCCGTAACTGCAAGCGCTCGATCCTGACGATCTTACGACAAACTTTACAGTCTAGGGTCTTATTCATTGTGGTATGCAAGTAGGGAATGCATGATGTTATAATCTTACGCCTTCCCGTTCTACTTAAAACAAGTTTAACAAGCCTGTATAGGGGTCATGCGAAGATGAAAAGGCATCTCTATCACTGGACGAAATATAACAATACCACTAGGAACACTAGAACCCTGGTAAAGACACGAAAAGCGATTCGAGTTAGCGGGAATTTCGAGTTATCGGGGTAAATTTCAGTGAAATTTTGATAAGGGAATTTAAATTTAGTTCGAGTAGGCGGAAATAAGAGCTATCCGAGTTCGAGTTATCAAGGTTCTACTGTATTTCAATTTATAGTTTGGTTGTATTAGCAGCCTCTAGTTGCCACACTGTGTGATTGGCCGCAAAATCGTCCAGTCAGAAGCCAAAACAAAAACGTCGTCACTCCCACGCACGATTTTTCCCGCTTTGAGCTTTTTTGAATGTGCCACTTCTAATCGGTCGATTGGATTGCCTGCGACCGTGTTGCGATGGGCTAGTGATTACTTTCAGAATGGTTTTACGACATTTGAAAGAAACAAGTCTAGCTTACAACATTGTTGCAATAAATAACATTTAACTCACATCAAAGAAGGCTCCTTTTTCTGAACCTTTAGGAGCACCTACAAAAAAAAAGACAGAAGTGATATGATACCTAACAGAAGACGATTACTAAAAAAGGGAGTTATCTCGTTCAGTAGATTAACATTGAGTTACGTGACACGATTCTAGATTTTGATGTCTGAGGATATGCCACCATTTATAGTGAAAGCTATCGAGCAATGCTCTTTCCGTGTTACTGCTTATATTATTAAGCCTTCAAGATGGTTCTAACTTAGCAACCCGTGGAAGTTATCCTACTGAAAGCCGGTTAGCGTGGCCCTGTTTATTGTGCTGAACAAAAATTGTCTGACAGCTGGGCCTGGACTACATCAACACTTAAATAAGAACTTCGAGCAGTACTTTCATTTGGTACTTAAAAGCAAAACAGTGGAACTGAAGACGGTCTTATCTGGTTTTTAGCAGGGGAAACTTAACAGAGTAAAGTTAATCGTGTCTTTTACCAGGAGGAATGCTGTTGAGAGCTTGAACCGCAATCATCTCTCCAAGATCAACATAACCTTGTAAATGCTGGTCATGTTCACCATCGTAATACCGCAGCTAAAAAAGAAAAGAAAAGAAGCAAATATAACAAACTCTTTACACATTGTGAGGGTGTAAGGGACACGACTTCATCAGTATAACAGCCTACGTTCGATATAATAAAATTCTAACACGATTCCGAGGCTTTCTGGTCATTTTTCTATATTCGGTTTGTTTTTTTTTGTGTGTTCAAATCTCTTTTGGGAATTGCGAGACAATGGAGTCGAGAAAAATTTGCATTTTGTCCCGGAAGCCTCGGAGTCAGGTTAGAATTTTAAAAAATCGAACGTGGGCTATTGCTGTGGAGTGCACTGATTGATTGCCATAATAATTGACGAACATGGTTATTTCTCTTTGTAATACCAACGCCTGGTGAGATCATGATCTTTCACCTCCCCAGTCACCTATGCACAAATGTTACGGAGCTCCAAGTTTATTCCCTCGAGTTAACGAAACCTCTTCAGCAGCACTATGCTTTTCTTCGCTTTAGTATTAGGATTGAAAGGTGAATGGTTGTAATGGAATCACACTACAGAGCTAGGTGTCCACATAACAAAAGTGCCCTCCGCATTACGATGGTAGGGATTGCAGGAGGTTTGCTACCCTTGGAACCAAGAGAACAAAAAAAAAAACAAAAATTAATATCGCGCTGCTACAACACTCGCTTCTTCTTGACACTAATGTGATTCCAACCCCACAAGGGTTAATTTCATCTCTTCTGTACTACTGGGGTGTTCGTACGGAGAAATTGGACCCAGCTACTGGCGGAAGCAAAAAGAATGAACACTGCTGAAACACTTGTATAACAACAGTCATGGAAACTTGAGAACTATGACGACTTGTCCGACACCATAATAAGGTACCATAAAATTCCGAAAATAAGCCCCGGGGCTTATATTTTTCAAAGGCTCTTTTTGAGGGGCTTATTTTTGGAGGGGCTTATGTACGGAGGGAAATTTGCGTTTCAAAATCGATTGGGCTAGCTTGTAGTGCGAGGGAAATTTACCATTTTTGCTTTATTTTACTTAGTATTCGAGGGCAATTTTCCAAGTACAAGCCCCCCGGGGGGCTTATATTCGGAGGGGCGATTTAACGGAGGGTTTTTTGCGTTACGATTTTGGGGGGCTTATATTTGGAGGGGCTTATACATGGAGGGGCTTATTTTCGGAATTTTACGGTACCATACAACAATAAAGGCATGGTTTTTGACTGTCTGACAATCATCACGTGGATGCATCTCAGACCTTTTAGCTTCTGATTGGCTGCTAATCATATCAAACACTGCCGTCATGGAAAGAAGCCTTCCATAGGCCTCTCTTAAGAAACAACAACAAACTTACGCACCTGATTTCTCTGTGTATCCAGGACAAACCACCTGGCCTTCCACTGCCTTAGAAGATGTCCTTTCTTATAAAGATGGCCGCAGTGAAGTTTTTTAGTTTGGGATGCGTCGGTCTGTTAAAGAGAAATGTCAATGTAGGAAATAAATTACCCCAAGGAATTGTGGGTCGTGAAATCTTTGTTACCAACTACGATATATTTCTAACTATTCTCAACGAACCTTCCATAAAAGAAGCCGTCAGATTCGAGGACGAGATTTGACTTTTTTTTTGCGTATCGGGCTTAAAAAATAGACACTCTGGAAAGCTTCATTGCCCGTTTTTCACCAGAATAGTTAAGAGATTATTTTCATTGAAGGAGGATGAGCCCACTAACAGAATGCAGAATGATAAAGCGTCGAACATTTGATAACTTGTTTCCGTCATTACGACATTTTCGCTAAACTCCGCAGTAGAATGACGAAGGCTATCGCGTTTTCTCGCCACAATGACGCTGGTTCACGCACGCGCACTGGTTAGTATTCAGAAAATCTTGTCCTGGTCTTAGAATCTAAACCTCTCTATTATTTAGGGGCAGGGTTGACAGCAATTGCCTCATTGCTATGGGCACGCCTCTTTATTTCATGGTATCTTCTTTACGGTGAAGAGGCAAAATGGCCAACAAAAGTTGAAATTGTTGGCGGGAGTATTACGTTATCATTTGTTATTAATTTAACGAAACATGACAAAATTGCTTTAAAAAGGGGGCCCAAAACTATAGAAACAGGAAAATTACAAGAATCAAATTTCGATAAGTTGAACCACGTCTTTCTTGGAAATTTCTCTCATTTATCTGCATTACGAGACAAAAAGAAAAATTAATGATCCACGCATTAAAACATTACTGACCTCACTGGGTAGGCTCATTGTACTCTTGGTCATACCAGAGCCAGGTTGCTCGGGTAGATCTCGCTTCTTACACTGCCAAGGGACCTGGGGCTGGCACCGTTCATGGCAGTTGTAGCCACACTCTGTGCATTTCATTCCTGCAAAAGGCAACAAAGTAAGCTATGAGCTTTTCGACAAGCCTATTCGCAGGCGTTTGTACAAACATTTCACTTGCGATTATAATTAACAAGATGAATCCTGAAAATTTGCACAGATTTTGTTACGTGCTTCAACTAGTTTTCAACACAGGGCAAAGACTCCACGTACCATGTATGCCCATTAGAAAAACCGACATTAAATCATAATAGTTACCTAAATAACTACATTTTTTGTTGCTTTATTGTTGCTAACAGTAACCTGTTACAAATAGCACTTGATGAAGTAGGTGATAGTGACAGAGGCAACTGCCAAAGCTGTAGGAAATCATGCGCTGACAAATTATTTTAAATTCACCATAATATGGTAAAGGGCATTTTTTGGTGAATTTCTGGATCAACTCAGGTTTTTGAGAAACTGCCCACCTACCCCTCCCCTAAGCCAACATTTTGCCCAAAGTGAGAGGTAAGTGTTAATGTTGACTTAGGGGCGGGGGTAGGTAGGCAGTTTCCCAGAAACATTAATCGATCCGACTAGAGGGCAAGATTTTAGAAGCATATTTCTTGATTCTGGTTGTTTTACCTCGATTCAAGATCCCAATGATCATCTGATAGCAGTGATCACAGTTGGAGGGAGGCATGAAAGTATGCGCTACAAAGTTGTGAGGTTGAGAGAAGCCCTGGGCTCCACGTTCCTCTAGCTGCAGCTTTCCCTGGAATCACAATGTTATAGTTGATGTCACGTTATAAAATTGGATCCAACTAACATGGACACGATTCAAGACATTTTCATCGTCTCCTGCTCCAAGAATAATTACAACATCAATAAATTTAGAAGATAGTACAATGACATGAAAAGGGTGTTGTGTTGATCGAGCAAAGTGAGTGGGATTCCAATCTACAGAAGGCCTAGGGATTGTGTCAAAATCCCCGTGGAAACTCGGTTCTCTTTCTTCGCAAGTGCACCGGTAATTAGCACAAATACTGATTAAGATGACATACCTTAAGAATGACCTCCATGGTACCTTTTTTGTGAAAGTTCAGGCGTTGATGGGTATTCCACCTTCTGTTCAAGACCCAAGGCTGCAAGCAAAGTAATGGAAATGAAGATCTAGAGGCTGCTAGACAGCTAGGAAGCCATCAGAATTGTCGCGCTGACAAGCGGCCTTTCACTTCGTCCATTCTCGCCATACCCGCATGTGCAGCTTGCCCACTCAACTGATGACTAAAACGGGTTTGTATATTGGCCCTGCGGAAACCATTGTTGGTTCGCTTTTGTTTGTAGTGTGGGTATTGTATTACCTCATTTGGTGGTTACACCAGTCCGCAAAAACAAGACACCCCCCACCCACCCGCTAAATAGGGACCTGTAGTACTCTGGTAAATGGTCACTGCTGAGAAATGAAAACTGAAACAGCACCGGTAATCCACAAGGGGTATATCTACTCCACTTTCCCTCCATTTTACAGCTGCACTTTCAGCTTTCCAACACTACTACATAATTTCTGTATTTTTGGGTGTTTGCAAACAATATTTTTTAAAAGAGCTTTTCCTTGAAAGGCACCATAAAGCTCAGCTGGTAAATGGGACTATTTTTTCTAGTTTTTGCTGTCCTCGAATTCATTTGGATGAAAGTACCATATCATACGCAGGGAATCCACCAACCGCTGATTGCTGATTAAGTTTAATCCACTAGGGTAGCAACTAACGAATAAAGGTTAATAACTACTCTTTTCCACATGGAATGTACTATAGAGACACAATGCAACTCCTAGGAAACAACTTCATGCCTTACCAAAAGGGTTTTTCACATGCTCTTGTGAAGACATTAAATCTTTTAGTAGAGAAAATTTCAAAACTAAGAGCAAAATTTGAGACAAACAACGAATATTTCGTCCGAATTGTTTGAACTTCATCAGCGTTGTGAAGCGTTACGTTGTGTAACAGAGAAGGTGTTACGTATCGTGTTACGTATCCCCAAGAGAGAATTGTAAATTGCTAGTAGGCCCAGTCCCTCGTCCTTAACTTTGTTTGCTAGCAATGGCCTCCTTGACGCCACACTTAATGGTGTTGTTTTCGTCAGATAGAACTTTTATGTGTTGGTTGATGTCGTGACCCATTGCCCGGAAATGCTCGAAAATGGGAGAAGTATCACAGGATTGGAGTTCTTTGATCGGGGTGCTCTGAGTTTTGGAATTTTTCAAACAAAACATTATGCCTGGTGCACTGACACCAACACTTCGTATTGTCTCTTAATACAGCTCACCAATCTCTTTCTGGGAGGACATGACAGGCCGTGCCAGTGATGTTCCCACTTCTTGGGTTTTTGATCTGCTTCTTCCTCTAGTCTGTACAGTTCTTGAAGAAGCCATGAACACTCATCATTTGAAAATTGCGTGACGTCACCATAGACACCAGACATGCAGCTTCCATACGTTTCCTAGAAATAAAGACAAAAACCAGTCATTGTCTCAATAACCTCTGACCGTTTTTGGTCTTCGTTTTACAGCGTGTGAATGACTTGCACCATGCGAGGGGATCCAAGACAGTCTTGGATTCTGGATTCTACGCCATGAATTCCAGATCCCAGGTACTAGATTCCATATTTCTTCACCCTGCAGTTCTCATATACGATTTTTATACATTCATAAATTAGATTCCGGATTCTTCATCAGTGGAATTTAGGTTCCAATTGTTAGCGGGATTCCGGATTCCACTTCCAAGATTCCAGATTTCACAAGAAAAGATTTCCCGGATTCCGGAATCTGGATTCCCTTACAAGGGGCGAGAGTGACAGCGGGTTTCCAGCCAAAAATAACTCGCAATCAAGTGATAGTTATCATTGAACAAAGAACAGAGAATGTGAAGATCTGCTTTGATACTGACCGCTCTTAAGCTTCAGTATAACGGGCAACAAAAATGTACAAAAAAATGTACGTTTCACCACCCACGTTCAAACCTGTCTCTCAACAACCCAGCCTCCTGCAGGCTGCAAAACGTTGTTGCACAGAGTAGAGAGTATTTCTACTTTACTTGCAACAAAATTTGAACAGGTTGTATGCTTTACCCGTTAGGTAAACTTGTTTTGCAGCAAGTGACGTAACACAGTGACTCCCTCGTAATTTTATTCAGTCAGAGTCAGTATTCATGAAACTTGCAAGCAGCAACCTGATTTACTGCAATACGGGTTTCAACGTGGGAGGTAAAACGCGCAATATTTCCTTGTCGAATCGTTTTGCAGCAATGTTGCACGTTTTGCTGTCCGTTTTACCGTAGCTTTAAATCCTTAAATCATTAGGAAGCTCGCTATCAACAAGAAGGATGAGCACACTGACACTGGCTCTTGCAAGAAGAGTACCTGTCTTCCATCACCACTCTGTTGTTCATTTTCTGTGGTGGTTGTGACGTTATTAATCAGCTCCAGGTCGTATGTTGGACCTGTTGACAGATTCTCTGTTGTGTAATACTTCCACACCTTTAAATTGGGTACTTTGCAGAATGGCCGCAAAACCTACAACAACAACAACAACAACAACAACAACATCAGCCTTGTTAGCTATTTAGAGGTCTTATATATTGCTAATCATCCTTAGACAATTTAGAGCGCGCTTCTCATAGAAAAATACGATCGGAATTAATCTAAAAAAAAATCACCCTCCGAGTGGATACATTTGATGAAACCTAAATCTAGATTTAGGCACACATTATTCCTTTCATCCTAGTGAATTCAAAGAATCTGAGATTATGAAAATAATTTTGGACTCTCCACTCGCCTGTAAGCAAGCTCTCTTGCTGATGGCTAAATCGGGGAGGAAGAGGGCGAGGAACAGAAACGGAGATAAAGATTCTCCTTCTTCCCAAGGAACAACACTTCGATCTGTGTTTCCCTTTTTAATTTCTAAAACTATCTGTTTCTCTTGTTTTCCACAAGTGAATAATAAGTGATCATGCACCATGGCGGTTTTTCGTGTAAAATGACCAACCTTGTGTAGACCAGGTGAATAGAGAAAGTTGTTGTACAATGGTGATCTGCTCTTCTGAAAATCCATGTAATCCCATAAAGATTTGCCTCTTGGTTTCCCATCCTCTTCCACCATCCAGCCAGACTCCATTCGTTCATGTTCAGAATCCAGAAGGAAGGTTCGGAATCTCATAGAAACATGGTGGTATGCTATGGTACTCAGAAAGTGATCATTGAACTCAAACGACAAAGGAAATTGGAGCATGATCTAAGAAAGAACATTACTTTTACGTTAGAAACCATCGTCATCATCAATGACACTACTATTGTCATTGTTGTTACCACCACCACCACCGCCACCACTATCGTCGTCATCGTCACCACCATTATTATCATCATCATCGTTGTTTAATTACAGACACTTCCATTTCAACTACCAAAAATGCCATAGTTTGCACAAGATGCATTCTGCATTATACCCTGTATGTAGTGTATGTTTCTTGAACTCGACTTTCTGCACACAATTAATTGTGCAAAAATCCCCACTGCAGTGAATAGACTGTTACATAAAGATTTTTTGACAAAAACAATGTGTGGCAATGTGAAAACGGTTTATTGATAAAATATTCTCAAGTACATATAGTACTGCCTTTCAATAACAGCTTTGAGGTTCATTCTAAGCAAAACAAATACCTGATGAACACAGTCTAGAAACTGTAAGAATACTGGTGTGAATCCAGCTTGTGCTGAGGCAGTTTGATTTCCACGGTGAGTGAATCTGTGGCCAAATGCTAGCCATTCCTTTTCAATCAGCAGTTTAAAGCCATCTATTGTCCGATAGTGAGGATCAAGCATGAGCTCTGCAAGAGACAGCACCTAAATAAAGGAAGAAATCAAAGGGAAAGACAGTAAGGATAAATATTAATGATTCTGATAGGTTTAATTCCACTGGCTAATTTTTCAATACAAGCTAGCGAATAACAAACTTGGACTATTTTTTTCTATATCTGAAAATTGAGGTCAGTTATTGAATAACAAAAAAATCATTGGACAACCAACATCACCTGTACCCGAAAACAGCCAAGGGAGTAACAAATGCGTAGAAGAAATTCTACTCAGAGTTAAGGTTAGAATGTATGAGGTTGAAGTCTGCCTTCAAGATGTTGACAACTGAGCCAGGAATGGAAAGATTCAGCATATCGCATCATTTCAAAGCAACTTCTTTTTTCGCTAGACTACGAGCAGTCTCTCTTTTTGTTTAGTCCGTAGAGTGAAACGCGTGAGACACTTAAATGACAACACGAGTGGCTGAAGTTAGGAGACGGGAGAGGCGCCCTCGTTTCTCGCGTTTCGCGGCTTTGCCACTCGACACTCGCGCGTGCATGCACCCCCCTCACTAAATCTGAAGAAAAAGAGAGACTACTCGCGGTCTAGTTTTCGGTACAATCAGGAACACTTGTCTAAAACGGGCACTTTTATCAACAATTTCATTCATTTATTATTTCATGCTATTTAAACGCCGTAAATCCCCCACCCCCGAATCAATGTTGTTTGAAGGGTCTAAAATACAACATTGATTTTGGGGGAGGGGGTGGGGGTACACAGGGGAAAGGGATACGTATGTCCACTATGCAAAAAAAGGCCATTTTACAGAAGTTTCTAAACACTTTTGTCCCTCACTGTAGATTTCCCCACAACAAAATTGACACGTAATACTGTGATAAACAAAACCACAATGACTGGACACTTACTTGAGCGGTGGCATCCCATCCATCTTCAAAGCAGACAAGCACTGAAGATCCTTGGATGTCAATCAGGTCAACAAAACAGTTTGCAACTGTCATGATTGCAGATAACTATTGAAAGAGTTCATAATTAATGGGTAAAATTAAACAAAGAGGAGTCTGAGCGAGGCTTAAACACCTTCGTGTAACTCACAAAAAAACGGTCCAAAAATGAAAGGGCGCATTCACTATTTTTACATAGACCACAATGCACCATGTTTACCCCCCAACATTTTGCATAACCATTGTCTTGGATTTCTCTTAGGACGACTGTAAGACCCAGGAGAAATTGGAAACAATAGTCTTGCAAAATTTTGGAGGGCAAACAAGATGCATTATCGTCTGTGCCAAGATGGTGAATTCCAATAGAATCTAATCCGAATCAGGATTAATTATCTGAGAATCCACTCTGGGAAAGGATTCATCGGTTCCTTTAACCCAACACGATGCGAGTGATCTTGAATTGCTGACCAGGTCATCCCAAAGGAATGCAACCCAAGAGAATACTGGAGGGTGGTATTCCTTTAGTTGCAATGAGATGGCCATTAACCAATTATTGAACTGATATTTTGACAATTATTGTCTGTGACTAACTTTCACAAAAAATGTTCTTGTTCTCTGATTCTAAAAACCCCTACACACTCTGCATGGCCATTCACGAACCTGTGGAAGCCATTCAGACTCCTCAACCTGTTGAATGAAGCTCAGGTTTGTCTCTGTACTGGGACAAGTAGCTCGCTGGAACTTCTTGAAACTTGCTCTCACTGCCCTGATGTCAGGAAGCTGGGGAAAAACACATTGGGCAATGCTATTCAACATCTAGTTCAATTTTGAGAAAGATGTTATTCAGTCAGTGACACAGGCAGCCCAGAAGAAAAAATCTGAGTACTGCCAATAGGAGATGAACCTGTGACCTTCAGGGCCCGGTTCTTGAAAGGCCGATTAGCATTAATCCAGGATTAAAATTTTGTTCCGTTTTTATATTTTATCTTCCTATGTATTGCTTAGGGTAACATTTTGTGTTATCATTTCTGTATCTCGTACTAAAGGCTCAACAGCAGTTTGTAACCTCGAGTTGCATATTCTTAGACGAGAAAACCATGCTTGAAATTTGGCTTAATCCTGGGTTAAACTTAACCACCTTTCGAGGAACCGAAATCAATGTTGTCAACATAAATAACGCTGTCCTCTGAATTCAATCAATCCTTTCTCTCCCAGTAGAAGTAAATCATGATGTTGTGCAATTTTAGCTGTGAGCAAAATTCTATGATGTGTAGTCATTCTAATGAAGCCTTTCAAGTAATTACATTCCAAACAGTAGTGGATTCAGGGGAGGGGCCCAGGGGGCCTGAGCCCTCCCCCTTATTTTTAGACCAAACTGAGGCCCAAAGGGGCAAAAAAAATTTTTTGGGAGACCGGCCCCTCCCTTATCTAAGGGTCTGGATGACCGTCCCCCCCCCACCCCCACACCCTTATCTCCAGGTCTGGATCTGCCACTGCCAAAAACATGTCACCTTTGCAGAGTAATATATTATATTTTTTACTTGGTTTTTCTTGGAAATATAAAATTATCCCATCAAGTGACAAGAATATTGAACGCTTTTCATGTCTCACCTCGATCGGAACAAACTCACACTTGGGATACGCTTCTTGCTTAACGTTCTGGGGAGAAGAACCAAATGCAGAACTATTAGAGAAAAAATAGATAATGAATCATTCCCCAAGGCTGCTGGCACTTGTCCGTTGGGGTCAAGTTCTTTAACCCATTCATTTCTGGGAATTTTGCTGAAAAATGCCTTCGGAAAATACAATCGATCCATTTTCTGGTGACTGTCTGGCTATAAACAACCAAAACGTCACTTGTATGACAAGCACTTCACAGTCTTCTGATCAAGATGCTAAATGTTGCCTTTCGAAGATTGGGTGTGCACAAAAACACAAATTTTGAATTTTAACTTTCACTTTCTCTCCTCCCCTCTTCTTTTGCTTTTCTTGCCTAATTTTTTTTCTTTCGCTGGGCATTTACTAGGGTTTCACTTCGGTGAAAAAAGGTGTTAGGGAAAGCTTTTAGATGGGGGGAAGTGCAGGTGGTTGGGGGAAAGGATTTTCATTAAGTTTTCAAAGTCAAACATTGCATTCCTCTCCGGTCTCCTTGACTGAATCCTGCTCATACAGGCATGGTTTGAAAGATCTCTTCCCCCTGCATTAATCTTTTCCAGACAAATGACAATTGTTGATCTGAAACAATATTCTCTTTAGCTGTAGATTGCTTTGACCTGTTCATATGGTAGAGCAAACCTACCCTTAATAAAGACTTGTCACCAAAGATGTAGAGGGCGGCTGGTTCCCATCCTTTTCTCAAGATAGTCTTGTCAACAAGTTGACCAGAGTCAACCTCGTCTGGGAAAAAACCATCTCGCAGGACAACTCCATGGTGGAGTGAGCTGGCACGAGCAATGTTCTTACTTTTTCCCAGGGGTGTGGCTGCCACTAAAGATAGCAACAACTTATAGTGAGTAACGTTTAATATCACAAGATTTTAAAGCTGAGGATGCACTGCAGCAAAAGGCATAGCTTGCTGGCTAAGTGCAACCTTAAAGGATTAACAATAGTTTCTGGTACTGCATTGGTTGGCAAAATACAAGAAATTGATATTACTAACTGAGATGGGAAGCTTAATGAAATCTACTTTTGGTGGCTAATTGATGGGGTCACAAAATTACTAGTAACCCAGTCGTTTTTATTTGGGTCCACAAATAAGGACAGAAAAAAAAAACATTTGAAAATAAATATCACAGGTAAGAATCCCAGCTGGCCGGAGGCAAAGAAGTTGGCTATTTATAAACATGACCAAGGAGTTACAACTTGGGAATACCAAGAACAACTCCAGCCAGCAGTTGGGGAAAGGATTTAACTTGGGCCTCTGAGTTGCAATTCCGGTGCTCTAACTGCTCAGCCACACCGCCTTCTTAAAACCTTATACCCTCAGCTGATCACAACAAATACAAGAGCTCACATGTTTTACCTCTATTCATGGTGGCATATAGCTACTGAGAAGGGCTGCTATTTCGACAAGATGTAGGGAGATAGCATGGCCGAGTGGTCACCACGTCGGACTCTTAACCCGGCAGTCCTGGGTTTGAGTCCTGCTCTGGCCACTTGCTGGATTTGTTCTCGGTCCTCCCGAGTTCAAATCTTCAGCTACGCTTGTAAATAGCCAACTGGTTGTCTCCTGCCAGTTCCCGATTTTAATACTGTTATGTCCTATTTGCATCATTTGTTTCAGAATTATTTGAGTAGAGTGCCTGCAAACTAGCTGGATAAGCTAAGTGCACTTCCCACCCAAAAAAAACCTTTAACCTTTAAATGTCTCTGTTTTTCCTTCATGCAAAAACTCAAACAAGGCTATTAAATAAGTGGCAAAATCTGTGGCATTATTCATTGATTTCATGAGGTCTCCTTTTCTGGACATCTCAAGCACTGTTGAAACCAAAATGACACAACACAACACAAGAACCACAAAGTCAGAAAGAGTATACTGATCTTTATGAAATCCAATTTGAACAAGAGACAGCTGTTCAAAACTGAGAAATTCCCAGTTACTAGTTGCCTGGTGTCTCAATATATAAATATTATTATCAAAAATTTTTGGAGATTTTGAATGGCTGTATCTTGTTCAAAATTTGGCCTGATAAACATCACCCTTGAGGATTTTGTAAAACTCAGTGTGATCTTTCTGTCTTTGTTGGCTTTCTGTTAATAATCACATAATACATGGACTTGTGCCCAGTTCCCCTCAGTTTGAAAACAGGCAAGGGAAGGCTTTGCATGCCAGTGGGTACCTACCTACTGCAGCAAAATATTTCTCCTGTTCAACAGAAGCTGATGAAGATATGGCGTGATGTGTCACACCGCTGCCACTCACAGTTTTGGTCTGTCTCATAATTGACCCTATAGTGCTTCTCTCAATGCCTCCTGCTCTAAGCAATGTTGCTTTGTTATACTGATGCCTCCATACTGCCACAGGAAATCTTCCTTGGCGGTGATTCCTAGCTATTCGTAGAATGCTATCATCTGAAATGCTGTGTGGTACTAACACTACTGATGGGTAACTGTAAATTGAAGTTACAAACTGTTTTTATATGCTATACAATAGTACAACAAAAACACAATGTTGCAACGCCCTTTATTGGTGTCCAACAACGTTACACTTACACCAAACAACTCCTAAAAAGCTGCTCTATTATTCAGTGTAGCACTTTGATTTTAACTACAAGAATGTTTCAAGCTTTGTAACCGTCAGGACTGGGGAAACATTTTGACAAGTGAATGCTGGTACAAGAAAATTCAACTTCTTAGTAGTCATTAAGCACAACAAACGAGAACAAGACTACAAAACAAACAATTTGCATGCCTGTGGCCCTCCTCCATGATTCACTTGAAGTCATCACACTCACTATTACCATGTCCAGTACATATTTCTGGTAGGCGACAATGACAATTTTCTATGATGCAAATTTTCTGCCACCATGTTTTTAAAGGCTTCATTTTGGCTAGCTGATAGAAACCTGGCCAAGCCATTTACATGGCAAAGACAGCCTGCCTACAGACCTTTTCTGAATTCCCCTCTGGTAAGCAAACATAAACAAATGAGGTTGTGGCTGAGAGGACAATGTCATATAAGTCTCTGTATTTTGTCCACCCAAGGCCAAGTTGGAATGCAGAAAAGGTCAATTAACCCTGGGAACAGGATAGACAGGGTGTCAGGGGTAGACGTATACCAATGCATTTTCCAAAGCATGGTATATAAAAAATTGGCATCCCCACGGTGGATCAGGGAACCTTCATTATTATGTGAATGATATATATGAAATAATCATATAATAAACGCGGAAATGAAATCAAATGAAGAATGATCCTCACAGTTGTGAATGCGATTTATGCAAGCCTGAAAAAGTCCTGAAATTTTTTCAGGCTTCTTATGCAATTGCATAAATTGTGTTAACAACTGCGAGGATCATTCTTCATTTGACTTCATTATTATGTTAACAGGTACCAAGTGACATATTTATTTTATTTCTTTCATTTCTGGGTTGGACCCTACTGGAACCAAAATTTAAAAAAACGGTTTACAATGTATACTCACCTTCGACATGCTGTGTACGTTACATTGACCATGCATATCCTCCAAGGACCCACTGGTGAATCCTTAGCAATGTTTCCCAACTTCAGACGGGAGTAGTCATTGCAGTATGATAGTTTGCTTAGTCTGTCAACTCCCTGAACAACAGGTTCCACTTTGAGAGGAATGTCATTAAGTTCCAAAACAGAATCATCATCATCTGTTGTTAATGATCCGCTAGGGGATCTTTGACTGTCTACATCATTGTGTCGGTGTCTTCGTTTCCGAAGTGAGCCCCTCAATTGGCTTGTCTTATGCCTTGAGGCATTTACAAGTTTGTTCTTTGTTTTTTTGAGAGTCCCTTGTCTCTCCATGTGCTTTTGAATGACAACAGTTGGTGTCCTTGCAATGCCTTTGCCACAAAAAGCAAAAGAACCGAATACTGTATTTGGTAAATGCCTTTTCTGGAGTTTCTTTCTGAATGTCTCAATGACTTCCTGTTCAACTTCTTCATCAAATGCAAGTTTCATCATCTGCCAGAGAAGAACACCAACAACCCACCTCATAATTGTTAAGTTTGACAAAACTCAGTGTTCTAAATATTAGGTACGATCCATTTGCTAGACTTGGACTATTCTTTACAAGGAAGTTTAATGAGTTACCTTAAAAAGCACTTAACACATACATCATAGTTTACTAGACACATTTACTAAAGTCATGGTCACCATTTCAACACTCTATCATGGCGCATGGGACTAACGAGGTTTAAAAAAAAAATGGATATTACGGTTTGCAACGGTAATATAAATACTACTTAAATTCAAAGGGCCATGCAAATGAGCTGCTAGCAGTAAGCCCTTGCAGTAAGCGTGAAAGCTTCAAGTTTTTCTCTCTGTTAGTTTCTGTAGGAAGGCGTCATTCCAAAAACAACAGCAACAGGTTCACTATACTATAAAAGAAAAATTGCTTTGATCTCAGTACCCAGAAAATATAATCCCAGCAAATAAACACAACCATACAATAGAAAAAGAAAATCTACCACAGACTGACCTGAAAGGTACTAGATCGGAGCTGAATGCATTCATGAAGCCATTGGCCCAAATGCTGCATATACTGAACTCCAATCTTCTTTTGAGTTATTAGCGCACCCACAGGGAAGCTTCTAGTCACAATCATCTCTGATGCTGAACAGAACAATTACAATACTTACATTAATTATACTTTTACTCTTTTCTATACAAAAGTAAAGACGTTAAGGTGCATTAGGTGCACGTAATATTATTCAATAGATAAGTCACCTAAAGCCCTGTCTGAGGGTCTTGTTGCAGTTATTATGGAAAAGTAATGATAGCCCAGTCAATAAGCAGTCATGATGGTTCATGTCTCAAAAGTAACAGCGAGGTCAAATGGTGTCTGATTACTTAAACAACAATTAATAATAATAATAATAATAATAATAATATTATTATTATTATTGCCTATTATTTAAAACTTACAACATGGCAAGAGAGACCAGGCTAGAAACAACAGACCTGTGAATCACAGGTTCAATGCTAGCCACAATATCATTATGGCAGAACTTAAAAACTTGCATTGACAATAGCATACATGTATCTTGGCTGCTTACATTAAAATAGAACACTGCTGCACAAACTCACCAAATTGATCTACAGGAGTTCCCTTGAAAATCACCCTGTAGTTCGTCAAGAATACAGCACCTTCTGCTGGCAGTAGGCATGGCCCTTCTCCTCCCTTGCCCAGCTCCCGGCCATCAGGCACAAGGTAGGCACGCAGTCCATCACTTAGCATTTCCTCCCCTTGAAGCATGTCAGGTCTCATGATCTTGGCCTGCGGTGAGTGACAAACATGGGACAGTCACAGCATGTTGGGAGGGGTGGCAGTGATGCGACTGCGTCACCCACTCACTTTCCCTAACCAATAAAATTAACGAAAAACAGTCACCCCCGAAAATGGTGGCTTTTCAAAGAATTTTGCTGTCTTGTGCCTATAAACTGAATTTTGTGCACACTGTTTTGAAATGGGACTCTCACTTATGACTTAAATAAAAGGCTAACACAAGCAAAATTGTCATTTAGCTGTGAATGATTCCCATTTTTGAAACTGGTTTTACTAATGTGGTACTTTACATGGGTAAAAAATTCACATAAAGACATTTTAACAGCGAGATAGGAGAACAAGACCCAGTGGTAGTGACAATGATAGTGATAACAAACTCAGTACAAGTCATACTATAAAAAGACTTACACTTGTAGAAACTTCCAAACTCGCATTACATAGGAAATATTAGTCACGTAAAATAAATTTTAAGTTCACTACACAGCAAAAATGTTTCTACTTACCGCCTGTTTGTCCATTACAAAATTACTCTACTAACTTCGAAACATTATTTTGGTGCCCTTGGCCCACAATTCGGTGCAAATCCTCTTAGCTTCTGATGCATCATTTCTTTTCTTTTTTTTTTGGTTCTGCAGTCGATGTGACGTTATTAACTGTTGCTCACCTTTTGAATTGGAGCCAGATTTTTGTACTCCCTGTACACTGGCTCCAATGATTCAATGTGCATGGCAACCACACCTGTTTGACCATAAACATAACAAAAAAAAGGGTGTTAACACAGAACATATTACTATGTATATGTAAGTATGTGTGGGTTGATGGCTCCATCACTGGTTCCCATACAGAAACATCATGTCTTGAGATAATTACATCCTATTACACTACTACCTGAGAAATTTCTCCAACTTGATTGGCTAAGAGCAGTGGTATTTCAGCTTAATTTGAAATACCTACATGTGAAAATTACAAACCTTTCCTGGGTAGTAGTATAAACAAATAATAGCATGATTTGTATGTGATATTTGGCATAAATACAACTTGTGATATTTCAAAATTGTTTCAAATTTCACTTGCCTAATGGCTCGGGAAATTACGTATAACAATTTTGAAATATCAGTCGTGGTATTTTATGCCAAATATCACAACAAATCATGCTATAACCTATACAAACGTCTTTATACAAAGAGCTACCCTGTAACAGTTGTGAAGAAACCCACAACTCCTTCAGTATATTAGGATGGAAATAATTAATGACAGCTATGGATCAATCAATTGTCGCTATATCACCCCAGGAAAAAAGTCAAAGTTATCTCAGTCCAACTGACCTGGAATCATTGTATACAGAGACTTTAAGTGTTCCTGACTAATCCCAGCCTCAGTGCCAACACGGTCCACAAAGCGACAGACAAATTTTGTCACTTGATCAGCAATGGTCCCACCATCTTCATCATCCATGTACATATCCCATCCCCCGCTATCTGTGATGCAGCTTCCTACTTCACTGTTTGCTGAAATAACATTAAAAGATGCAAGACACAATCATCATGACATTGACCTCTCTCAAAGGCAGACCCCAATTATTTATACATTAATTTCAAGACCAGCTTTAGCAGTCTAAATTTAATGCAAAATTAGTCAGGAAGCAATGTCAATGGTCTGGAGGCATCTACCCCAGCACTGGTGTCTGCACTTGGACGTCACCTTTATTATGGTTGATAGTAGCATAAAAAATTTCCCTCATAGGCTGGACTTGGATTGCATTGGAGGAGACACACTCATTAGGGAGCTTAATCAACAACAATGGTGACGGCAATGGCAATAAGAATGGCAAAAAAGCAGTGGGCCAGATATGTAACCGTAGTTTAGCCAGTGTTTAACAAAACCACGTTCTAAGTCAGTTTCAATTTACCCAAAGATTTCATCTAAACATCATTTACTGTGTACAGTTTTATTAAAGCATATAGAGAAGACTAGAAAAACATTTATCTTCTTAAAACAACCCACCAAGGAGAAGATCCGGAGGTTCAAAGATTCTTTAAACCATGGCTTAAGTTAGACTTCATTTAAATATTTGGCCCAATAGGTTTAGCAAGCAAAACGACAACTTTGCACGTGCATCACCATTTTTGTACATTTCTTTGCCGTTGCTGCACGACTATAACGTTACGTAACATATGCCTAATTTCACGTTTTGTTAAGGACGTGAACACAACACATTGACTTTCTTTTTCTTTTCCTGAACTTTGATAGAGTCTTTTAGAATTCAACTCTAGAAAACTTTTCCAACATTTGAAAAATTGAACAAGTTGGAGTAAGTGTGATAAAGTTTGAAGTAGCGTGAATTTAAGTATATTTTCGTAGCCATCGTCATCACTGTTGCTTAAGCTCCCTATTGGTACAAAAACCCACATGCAAAAAAGTCCCAGGACCCATAAGCCTCACCTTCCAAGCCTGATAAAAAGGTTGAAGGTAAATGCCAACCCCTCTACCCACCACCCTAAACCCCTGCATGCTGTTCAAGCCTAAGGCAAATAGCCTTCCACCACTGACACTCTTAACGGTATAATAATGAACTTAATAGAACAGAAGTGTTGTTTTCTGTTAGCTGAGGAATGAAAGAAGCAGAAAACACTTTTCTCATACTCATCTGGGAGTCTGGGTGCTAGTGTGCAGGGGGTCTAGTCACATGGTTGGTTGAAACGTACCAGTTTTCTTGTTGCTATTTGCTGTTGCCTTACATGTACCTCCTGCTCACCCACCCTTCAAGCTGGGTAGTTTTAAGTGATTACCTCTCAAGGTCATTTAGCGTCTCTTTTATTACTGTGGGCCTTTGTTGGCCAGGAGTTTTCATTATGATCGTTGTTTGGTGTTTGTATATTTTGTCAGAGCATGCAATCTAGGGAGCATTTCCCCTTTTTTGCTCTGTTGTACTATTACAATGTTTTGTAATGAAGGTCAGGCTGTATGGTTAAACTTGACATGGCTCCCAGTTGTGTGTGAGAATTTCCTGATCCACAGTTGTTACAGCTCACAAAAGAAGGAAACTAAAACTTGGGTTTTTTCAAGCAAAGAATTAAAAATTAATACATACCAACTGTCCCTCCATTTACTATACTTTCTGCATAGGTACCATTCACAGACCCCTCACCATCCACATGAATTGAACCTAAAATTCAAAATGTCAGTAAATCAAAGCCGCTACAGCTGTACACATTATTACGTAAGCCTGGACAAAAAATAACAGGAACTTGTTCCCAAAATTTGTTGAATCTTAACTATAATAAAATTCCCCAATCTATAGGAATTGGCTATCCTGGCCTCCCTGATTTCAGCATTAATAGGATAGTATACTAGGACAGTTCGCATCATGTCTAAGTAACTAAGTGCCATTATGCATGGCACTTTAATGGGATTTGTTTTTTAAATTTAACTAAAAATGCTTGAAGAATATTAATTTTTGTGTTTTAATCCTACAAAAGCTTAAAATATCACAAAATTTGGTACAGTTATGATAAATTGGTAACAGAATTCCATGTCATCCAATACTCGCGATTCAACAAATCGGATGACTGCAAATTATTTTGTTAATCATTCACAAGATTATAGACTGAATAGAAGTCCACTCAGTCCTATTACCATTACAAAATACATGTCATTCTTGGTGAGACAATAACAAAATAAAATTAATTGATTAAAAAATAATGTATCAAGAGAAGAGACAAGAGACATTTTGAGTTTGTATTAAAAAGGCCAAACCTGTTACAGGAGTGGGCACAGGAGTGGGTGCAGGCATCTTCTCACTAGCGTCAAGAGGTATCCTCATGTACACCATACGATTAGCATAGTGAATTGCTTGACTGTACACAATGCCCTCTTCACTGTTAATCAAAAAGTCTTGCTCCATCTTGGAGTAGTTGGGCCATTTCTTGAGCTAAGGAAAGCATAAAAGAATAACAACATTGTACTTCTATACTAATTATTGTGCCGTCTTGTCTTGGGTGTATTCTTGGTGTTTTTGTGGCAGCAGCAAAGAGTTTGTAACAACTCTTGGAGCAAGCTGGTTCACTAAGTGGACATCTGGTGCAGTTACATTAACCCCAGGTGGTGACATATAAATAACAGTATTCTTCAAGTAATCATGTAATGGGGACTTCAAGTTTTTGTAAACATCAACTATTGAGGGCTTCTTAGGCAGGGTACTTCTGTCTTTAGCCTGAATTTTAAGTTGCTGTTTAGCATAATTATTGAAGATGAGGCCACACTGTTGGCATTTTACTATTGTATTTATGATTTTCCTCGTTGCTGTCAAAAAACAGTATTCTTCTACTGTTTTGTCACCATTTCGCTTGTTTTATCTTGCTGTTTCAGCTCAAGGCCATGTCACTTGTCTGAATTTTGCTGTCACTTGTTTTGCACTGCGCACCCTCTACTGCGCATAATACTGCGACATCCAAGATGGTGGTGGTTCTTCCCGCTAGAGCGAAAAGAACAAACAAGGGCCACTTTTGCAGAGCTAAAGCTTTTATTCGCAATAATAATGCTGCAGATCGGCTTGGGTCACAACTTCCATATTTTTTTAAACAACTTATTTAATTTTAGTAACACTTCAAGCGGTTGGAGTCAGTAAGAAGTGTTGCTTTGAGACATTAATTTTACCAGTTACCGCCTGATAAGGAGAACACTGCATGAATAGTACTGCTAGGATACTTAGACAGTATAATATTTCTATCTGTCTTGCACTGAGATGGTAGAGAGCTTAAGCAACCATGTCAGCAACAGCAGCGAAAAAGTCATTTTGACAAGTAAAGTTGCCTTGTTTCAAACTTTATTATTCTTAATCCATTTCATTCAATTAACAAATTCTGGGGATTTTGAAGTTGATTATTTTCAAGGCCTGTATCTATTTTTGGTAAAAGAAAAAAAAATTGTTGTCTTGTGTTCATATCCTGCATACAGTAAGCATTAAGTATCATGTTGTAGTCATGCAACAACCCTAAAGAAATCTTCAAAAAAGGATGATGCACATGCAAAGTTGTTGTTTGGCAAATCTAAACCAATGCCTTTTTTGCCATTCTCATTGCTGTCCCGGTAATCATTGCTTAAGCTTCCTATTAACATCTGACAAACCTGCTTAGCAGCAATGCTTAATGCACTAGGCACTGGCTTCTGCTCTGCTTGCTTAGGCTGTTCCAGATCACTGCTACTTCCAGACTCCTTGGGTTGAGATGCAAGATTATCTCTGCTTCTTGAGATGCTGCGATGCTTTGTTACTGGTGTTAAGCTTGCGCGGGATATACGTTGGTCTTTCCTATCTAGTGTGTCTTCAGTTATAGCCTTTGGAGCTTCGTCATCAACATACAACTGCTTTATTTGTGCCTGGACATCTGCATAAAATGCTTCTTCCCAAAACTGCTGCCGTTCCCAGACTGGGTGGTCTTGGACACAGGTGTAGGCAAATTGAATAACACCAGCATGGAGTTTCTAGCAACAAAACCAAAACAATTTTCATTTGCGGAGTTAATGGAAAACTTAAGGCACACTAGCAAAAACAGTTGAAATAGCTCTATACTACAAGTATGTAACACTTCAAGAAGAGTCCAGTAGTCAGCATAATGCTAATATAACCCCTGTTATAATCATGTGGTGTGACACAAACAACAACAACCACTACCTTTCCCGCATCATTCATATCATGGGCTATGGGTGGGTTACAGTAAGCTCATAAATGGACTGATAGCAGCTGCCTGTGGTGCCTCGTACATGACTGTATGCTGAAGTCTGAGCTTACTGTTTTCATGTAATATGTAAAGAGAGTGCACCTTGTTTTCTTCCAATCCACAACATTGCATTACATTACATTACAACAAAGTAAGCCATTTCCGAGTTCTAAAAATTCTCACTTTCAAAATGAGGGTAAGTGCAAACCCTGTCCTGTGAAAATGAGTTTTAGTTGCGCATTAGATCATATACCCATGTATTTTGCGCTACATAAATAATTAAGTTATGTTATGTTAATTGCACGAGAATAAAAAGCCATTTTAACATCAAAAGCATCTATCATACTTAACCTCGCTTTGAAACAGAGGCTTGGGGTAACTTGGAAATCCCCTGTTACACCAGCCTTCTTTTCTTAGAAGATCTAGACAAAATATTAGAATGGAAAGCCTCTTACCCTGCAGAATGTGGCAGTGAGAGGCAAGAGTGCTGCAGCTACTTCAGTATTACTCATGCTGGCATCATCCTGCAGACAAAACATATGACAGTTTGGAAAGATTACCACTGAAGTTAAAAAATGAAGGTATTATTTTAATTAAATGACAGAAATCACACTCTTCAGTTCTTCAGGGCTTGAAATTATCTTTTTCATCCGGGCATCAAGTGGTGACTGTTAGGAAAATTTTGGTTGTCAATTTATACCCTACTATTAGTTGAAGTTTGACCCCTACCTCTACATTCATTTTTTTTTTCATGCAATGTTTATCAATGTGTGCAGCATGTTGGTTTGTTTACTTAAGGACTGTTTGCACATTTGTGACTGGTACATTACTAGTTCATTGGTAGGATGTTACAGTGTTTTCTTGTCTTTGACATTTTTCTCTTAACAGTCACATTAGTAACCAGTGAATCTTTATTTTCAGCCCTGTTCCTGTACTCTCAAGGCTTCCACTACACATATCTATTTCTGTGATAAGGCATGATACACTGTAAAAATACACATTCATCTCAAAGTGGCCGAGTTATACATAATACCGTAAATTCGAAAATAAGCCCCGTGGCTTATATTTTTCAAAGGCCCTTTTTGAGGGGCTTATTTTTGGAGGGGCTTATCTATGGAGGGAAATTTGCGTTTCAAAATCGATTGGGTTAGCCTTATAGTTGGAAGGAAATTGACCGTTTTTGCTTTATCTTAGTTTGTATTTGAGGGCAATTTCCAGGTACAAGCCCCCGGGGGGCTTATATTCGGAGGGGCGATTTAACGGAGGGTTTTTTGTGTTACGAGTTTGGGAGGTTTATATTTGGAATGGCTTATACATGGAAGGGCTTATTTTCGGAATTTTATGGTAACTAACCAGATGATATTAATTGCAGGAGATAAGGCTGACTAAGTAGACATTTATGTGCACTTACAGAGTTGAAATGAATGGCAAAAGAATAATAAGGGTGAATAAATTTGTTTATTTTGATAAAATAAGAGGTTTTCAAGAAATAATCAAGAATCAGTCAAAGTCAACAACAAACCTCTAATGCCCTGTTCATGAGCCTGACAACTAAGTCAAACTGGTCATGCTCCAACAAAGATCTGTTCTGTTTTACTCTAAGAGAGAGTTCATGGCACAAGGCTAACTGAGCGCCTTTAGACTTGAGAGCTCGAAGCACTGATTCAAGAGTCTGTTAAAGGTAACAAACACTATTTCAGCATAAACAAAATATAAAAAACATGATGGCCTTATTTGACTACGATAAACAAAAACCTTTTGCTTTTTCTTTCTTTAATAAATTTCTAGCAATCCAAACAAATTTTGTTTTTCTAAAAATAGTTAGTATAAGACTTGTCATGTATCCCTGCACCATAACTAGTAAGAGAAGGATCAAGACACTTGCCTTGGCAAAATTTTCGCCTTTCTTTTATGTGTCATAGAGAAAAAACCTTCGCTAATATGATAATTATTAAAAAAGTACAATCATAAAGGAATGGTCTTAACTTTTTTTTTCTGAATATAGCATTTCTAGTAAGAATTAAGTTTTGACGAGTCGCAGACCTGTTTTCAGCACCTTTTCAGTTAAAAAAAAAAACAGAATGGTTTTCCAGAAGAAGGGAAATTAATAATTCAACCTACAATATTGTTTGGAAAGAATTGGGTTATCTCAGTCAGATGTGTGTAACGAATGGACCACACTCTAATTACTGACTGCATAATTTTAAAAACAGCAAAATACAGTGGAATGTACTTTCCATTTGTCAAGTATCATCCATTCACGGTTTAACTTAATAATCAAGTGAAGTCTCATCACCTTCTTTTTAAAAAATTTTTTAGATATGACACTACTTCACACAAGCTACTGCCTACATAGCAAATTTAATTTATTATTTTAATACGTTTAACTTTACTGCTAAGAAGAAGATTCTAATGGTACTATTTAAGTGGAATACCTTCCTAGCCTCAGATATCTGGTTGTCAAAGATGTATGCCACACAATCTCTCAACACCTCCAGCTTCCGACTTGGAATATAATGCTGTTGCTTGCTTGATACTAAATTTGATGGCACAACACAGGGTTCAGGACTTTTAACCATGTAAGGTGCAGCTACATTCTCCTGCTGGTCTATATAGCAGTTAATATCTGATTCACTCAGCTCAGGAAACACCAGTTTATCACATAAATCTGCCTCATCAGAGGGAACAACAGGCTGGACAGTGTTTTCATTGGTGTCACAAGAGGGTTCCTGTCAATGAAAAAGTAAATTAGTATAGGTAATAGCGTGATTTGTAATGATATTTGGCATAAACACCACCAGGGATATTTTGAAATTGTCTACGTAATTTCATGAGCCATTGGGCGAGAGAAATTTGAGGCAATTTTGAAATATCAAGAGTGTTATTTATGTCAAATGTCACGTACAAATCGTGCTATTATTTGTTTATATTACTACCCACAAAGGTTTTGTAATTTTCACATGTAGGTATTTCAAATTAAGCTGAAAGACCACTGCTCTAAGCCAATCAAATTGCAGAAATTTCTCATCTAGTAGTATAATGGGAAGTATAAGTAGACAAGAAAGGAAGGACCCTGGTCATAAAAGGTGGCATAGTACATTAAAGCGAACAAATTCCTTCTGAATACCTGAATATGCGCTTCCTAACAGCCACTTCAATTTTTCAAGCAGTAAGGATAATATAATAAGGAGACCCTCTTATCTTTTCTCACTTGAACAATTTAACTTTGACTGCTTAAAATATACTAGTTCAGTTTCAGTTATATCTGTCTCCAGGAGCTAACAACATGTGTATCATTTTTGTTCATTTAAGTTTTAGCCTTTCACTATACTCCTGGCCCCCAGTGGACATGTTACACGTCAAATTTGTTGTCAGGTTAAAAATTTTTAACCTACAACTGTACCTGTAGGTTGATTCTTGATTTTCTTTGTCTACTGGGGCTAGAGGACAAAGGAAATTGAGAATCAACCTAGGTTAAATCAAAATTAACCTGAGATCAAATTTGATCTGTAATAGATACATTATACATGTAGATAGGAAAACCAATTGCACTATCCAGAGGGTAATGATTTATCCCATGGATAGCACTGCGCACCTTTACCGTGGTAAAAAAAAAACATCCTCAGCAAAATAGAACATTTCTTTGTCCTATAAAGTTCAGTCAAGAAACCTTAATCAATAAGCACCTCCTGGTTTAAACCCCACTTCAACCAAAAAATGGCATTTAAGAATGACAGTTTCAACTAATAAAAGCATGGCATATCGCAGAGTTGGTCACTGGAACTTACATTATCGTAGAGCTTCTGGGCAAGTTGCTCAATGCTAGCTTGTACCTCAGCATCCACTCCTCCTTCACCGTTCAGAATGCTGTCAATCTCGACACAAAGCTACGAACCAACCATTATGAGAATTTAGAACCACATACCATGCTAAAATGTCACAATCTAAGACACAATGTTGTTAATTCATGTCTGTCCGGTCATTCACTAATTTGTTTATATCAACAAAAAGTTTGATCTCTTTCCCCCTTTGCTACTTACTTTGAGGAAGTTTATGCTTAAACAAACCAATTAAACCAGAATATAAGCAGGGTTTGCAAATTTTATTGATGAGTGGAGTCGGTGTGACTTCTGCTTCACAAATGTTGGAAACATTTTGGAATAATTATTTGGAGTCAAGTATCAGGCTTTCCAGCATGTGGTCATGGCATGTATACACTATCGTGAGGGATGCATGAAGTAGCTGTGGCGGTCTGCTGACCTGGAAAGCTCAAATCCATGATGGCAGTCATCAATAAAACTTTGATGGTAATTTACCCTTTTCCTGTTTTGTTGTGCAGTATAATTCTTTAATTTCAATGATTTAATTAAGGTTTACAACGTTTACAATTAACGCAAATTGTATTTGTTACAAAAAAGGTAAGGACAAAACTGTTTTTGTTACCGAAAATTTCTGGAGTCGAAGTGGCTCCCTGTTTGTTAACAAAAATTTTTCGAGTCAAAGTGACTCCCTCTGTAACCTCAGTGGAGTCATCTGGACAATTTTGGCGTAAAATATGCCAAATTTGGCGTATTTGTGAACCCTGATATAAGGAACAGGGAAGGCAGGGTTTTTTTTGACAGGAGGTTTATTATTATATGACTGGAATCAAGGGCTGACTGAATTGGACATGAACGACCTCAATACTGTGTGGGAACATACTCCAACCTTCCTCCCACGCGCCTCTGCACTTCCAGACAAGGAACTTTGATCAGTCAATTTATTGTATCAATATTGCAAAACTGAAATTATCTGGACAGCACATTGCGCTGGGAAAATTGCATCAACACAGTAACTGACACGTACCTGGTCAAATAAATCACACGTTCTGTAAGGAGGGCCTCGGTGTGCCACAAATGATAGAAATGAAATGCTCTCTAACACCTGGATAATAAAAGCACGGAGAATTAAAAAAATATACTGTGAATGAAGCTTTTTTCTGATTTAACTTCTATAGGAAGGGAATAATAATTGCTTTATTCAAGAAGTATTTGAGTACACAGTTTACAATCCATTAACACAGGTAACAAATTGCCTGAGAATTCTTGGTACTCAGTTGCTGTTCCTCCATGTATTACACTCTTGCCACTATGACTGCAAGAATGCCTTTGAAAGGAGGAAGCAGTGATTTGATTCAGCTTTCTTAGGCACTTTGAAACCTTCATTGACTGTCACAGTCAAGCCAGGTCAAGTGTACCTTATGGATTCTATGAACAAACTGCTTATTGGAGTCAAGTCACCTCAAGCTTTTTTCTACACATCCTCCTCTACATAATTTACAGTGGAACCTTTCCTTTGGGACACCCCTGTTCAAGGAACACCTCCATTCAGGGGAAACAACAATTTGGTCTTGGAAAAACCTCCACATATTCTTTGCATCTGTTACCTCTATTGACGGGAGACCTCTATTCAGGGGAAAGGGACTCATTTTCTTAGTCCCCAAACCTGAGTTTAACCACCATTCATGGGACTCCTTGGCACTCATAACATGACTGACCACAAAGAAGGTTGATATCTTTAAGTGTACACTAATCAATGATGGCACCTTTCACAATCTGAACAATCTCACTTAAATCAATGACCTGCACTTGCATGAATTCAATGTACATGTATAACATCACTGCGATAAGTTTACCATTTTTTTTTGTCTTTGTTGGCTAGTTATTAACAAACCCCAGCACAACTTCTATTCACGGGACACCTCTATTGCCTCGGTCCTTTGGGTGTCCCCTGATTAGCGGTTCTGCTGCAGTTAAATGCAATTTCAACAGTAATGGATGAGCTTGAGGAATACAACGTAGTACCTTAGAAAGTTTGTAAGACCACCTTTTTTTTCAGTGGCTCTCCCTTTAATGTAATAAAAATTTTCCAGGCCAAACTTTATTCTACATGTAAATCACATGCACTGGACAGACAACACTCAGTACAGATAAGTCTCCCTTTGTAGAAATCACAGTATGAACACCTCTATAAGGAACGACTTCTTACTGGCTCCTTACAGCTGTAAATATTACCTCCTTCTTCTCTAATACTCACATCACTGTTATGGCTGAGATAATTGGTTCAATTTTTCTCGTGTCTGTATCAAGAAGGGTTGACAGAATACTGACCAAATAAATTCTCTTAATGCACACTTCAATAACAATATTTATTTACCTTTGACAGAAATGGATCTCCAATCATGCCTCTGTACTCAAGGAAAGAAACCTAAAAAAAGCCAAGTTTTGTTATGCTCCTTTTACATTGTTAGTTATGGTTTCCATGACAAGCCTGGCTCCACACTGGTATAAACCATGTAGTTCAGTATTTAATTACTGGGAAGGGTGCTCAGCAGTTTACAGAAAAACTTCACAATCATAATACATTCCCCAGGAACCATGACATTAAAACTAGGTGTAAAGGACAATAAACAGAAGCCCAGGAAAGTACATACTCCTGTTAGTTTTCCTTAAGTGGACAGACACAAATTTTATCAACAGTTTTCAAATTTACCACTACGCTGTACAACGCATTTGAACAGTTAGACAACCAAAAAAAGGAAAGAATGCATGAATGCATGAATGCATGAATGCATGAATGAATGAATGAAAAATAATAATCCTTCATTTGCTTCTTATGTCTTGGAATTTAATAGTTGTAGTAAACATAGAACGTTTACTAATTATTTTTGTATGTACCTTGTTGAATGTTATAACAGGCTTAGGATGTATTCTGATCAGAGTAAGGCAGGATCGATAACCAGAAAACAGCTGGGCAAGAAGTCTGATAAACACAGCTCGCAATTCCTTGTCCTTTAAGATAAAAATAATAGCAAGACTTGTCACTTTTAGAAAAAACAACAACAGCAGCAACAACAACAAACTAAAGCAATGAGCTGGTTCAAGCAAATGTCGCTCCTCCTAGAAAAAATATTGAGAGTGACTGAGGTTTTTACAGTAAAACCAAGTCAAGCATATTCCCCATAGTTTCTATAAATTAATGGATGGATTATTAGAAACTGAGAAGTTGTAGTCTAAAATTCACTACTCATTATGCATGTAAAGGAGAAACAACCAACGACACTCTTGACCTTGTGCAGTCAAAACATTTAGAACATTTAATAATGAACATGAAGTGGAATTTCCAACAGGGAAACGAGTGAAAGGGAGTTTGATGCGACATTTATAAACCATCCACTGAGGGTTTATGTATTTTACCGGCACAACACATTTTGTTTCAATGCCTGATGACTCCTCAAAGCCTTGTCATGCCTGAATTATTTTTTGTCTGCACAAGAAGAAAGATCACCACAAGTTTTACAACCACTATCTACACTGTAACAGCACCTCAGGCAATAATTTTCTTTACAGACAGGCTGCGCATTTTGTTGATCAGGTCACAATTTCAGTCTGACAAACCAGAAAAGACAGTGAATAGAGTTTTAATTCTAGCTGAACTGTGTAAATCTGCAGGGATGAAATTAATATTAATAAACCTCTTTGCATTTGATCTGCCCAGTCATCACCTCTGACCACAAATAGAATTTTGTAAGACAGTGGGCCAGTTTTAGATGGATATTGTCTAATGATTTTCAGTTGCTTGTAGTTGTTGCTCACCTGTAGCTCTGGGGGAGATGGTGAAGTTGGAGCTTGGAAAGCACAGTCTGCTGTCACAAGTTGTGGATGTAACACCTGCAGATGAACGATAAACTTAATAATTATTTTAAAATTGATCATCATCTTAATACTGATCACTCTTTCTCCTCATAAGTCCAGACCTAACACATAATTTCCTGTTTTACACAACATAGAGTAACCAGGCCTGTTACCACTGGAAGGGGTGCCAAAACCCTTGAACCCAATAGGCTATGTTACAGGCCAAAATCAAATTCACCTTAGATTTTTTTAACCTAGGTTGATTCTCTGTTTTCTTTGTCTCCTGCCCTGATTATTCATGAATGAGGGCTAGAAGACAATGGAAATTGGGAATCAACCTGACTTAAATACTTTTAACCTGAATTTATTTTTGACCTGTACATAACACAGCCATACTGGGTTTAAGAGTTGTGGCCCATTTGACTTTTTTCTTTTTTCAGTTTTTGCTTTTTTTGTATGACAAAGTTAGAGCAAGTCCGTGTGTATCAACCGTACAAACATGCTCACCAACCCATGCCTGTAGAAACCTGCCGAAACAGTGCTGTATTTTAAGGTCACTTAAGTCTGCAAACTTACCAAGGTTAATTCATGTCTTGTTCTTCCAAGAAAAGGTTCTGGCAAGGATGCAAGGTTAATGGCATCAGGGAAGAAGACATGTCCTCCATCAATATCCACAAGAATTACATCAGCCTGTAAAAATATAATTATAACACATTTTGTAAGGATACATGAATAGCACTGTCACATGAAATTCACTTTTACATGAGCACTCAAAATTCTTCGGCTGGAAACTTCTGTATTTGCCATAAGTTGCCAAAATACATCTTACAGTCAAACCAGGTCAAGCGTTCCCGTCGCTAACGAACTAATGAATTCATTCACGGAAAAATGATTTCGTTTGTTGATTCAATAATCCATTCATAAAATGAACAATCCAATATTCATATTTAGCCTCGATTCCATAATCGAATGTTGATTCGATTACTGTTTTTTGAAAAACTACACTTTCCACAAGTTGACCTCAGAATTTTGTTTTTTCCTCTTTTTTTTCTGAGAGTCGAGTGCCGGCGAGTTCTGAAGTTCAAACCCAAACAAACTGTTACATGTACGCCAGTTTTAAATATGAATTAGCTATGTAATATACTAGATATATATACCGGTATATATTTTTTATTTCTTACTTTTTAACTTTTTAAATTTCTTACACTTACTTGTAACAAAAGATATGTATTTTTATCTCTTGATGAATAAAGACTTTATTATTATTATTATTAGTTTGCTGCCAGTAATCAGTGCAACAGACCCAGGCCTGACCTCTTAGAAAACACAACGGTCAAACTAAGGTCAGTGTATGTGCGGTGATTGGTGGATTTCGATCCTCGGCCTTTGTCAGTTTCTCATAGTTTCTTTGCGTTTGCGGTCTGTCTATTCTAGCTGTTATTTTGATTAAAGGCAATGAAAAACGCAATCGTAAACGGCAGGAAAAAGGAAGCAAATATGATTGAACACAACAGACAAGAATAAAGAACAGGTAGATTTTGCTCATAAACCAAATCAACATTTGATTATTGAATCGAGGTCCAATTTGACTGTTGGATTATTCATTTTATGAATGGATTATTGAATCAACAAACGAAATTATTTTTCCATTAATGAATTCATTAGTTTGTTAGCGACGGGAACGCTTGACCTGGTTTGACTGTAAAGGGAGGAGAATATTACCCAAAATCATGGGTCTGGAAATATTTTGATCCAATCTTGAAATCCTGCAAACTTTGGTGACAATTTTCAGTTTTATCTCTGCTATTTCCTTTCATGAGAGAATCAACAATTTACCTCTCAGTTTCACATTTTAGAACAAGGGTCTCATTGTCTTAGTGAGTCTCAGATTTTATCATTTACTTCCCTTAACTTTGAGATAAGGGCTGGAATGTTGAGTTAGATGCATTACTCACCAAATCAGGTACCACATTATCTTTGTAGCTGTCATGTACTCCCATGATGTAGGGAGTTGGTGCACTCAGGAACTCCAGCAAAACAGATGGAAGGATTGGGATGAACACATAACTGAATAAAAAGGAGGAATATGGTTAACAACAGGGAAAAGTAATTCTGTAGAGTGATTTGTACATGTACATCCACTGCATACCATAACTGATGAAGTGCATTTAGCTGAAAACTGAAACTGAGCTATTGACTACAACAATAATGAACAGATGAATTCATTCTAGCTGATAACTGTCCTTTGAAACAATGAAAGTTGTGACAAGGAGGTACTCATTACTTTTTAATGTTTACATTCTCAATTCTCCAGACTTTTTACCCCAGTTCCAGTAAGTCTGGAAAATCTTAAGGACTGTACACATATCTCAGTTTACTCCATTTTAACTGAAAAAGAAATGATCATCAGGGCCTGGTTCCTCAAAAGATGGTTAAGTTTAACCCGGGATTAAGCCAAATTTTAAGCATGGTTTTCTCATCTAAGAACATGCAGCTCGAGGTTACGATACTGTCGAGCCTTTACTATGAGATACTGTAATGATAACACAAAATGTTACCCTAAGCACTGCATAGGAATGTAAAATACAAAAAATGGAACAAAATTTTAATCGTGCGTTAATGCTAATCGGCCTTTCAGGAACAAGGCCCAGAAAAACAATTTTCTTTGGTTTCCCAATGCTTTTGTGTGCAGTAAACACTTTCACTTGAAACACATTCGCGATAAAATAAACTTATATTCAAGCTTGTCCTTTGGGCACGCAGTTCTCTTGTATGTCTTAGTTAATGATTTTATTAGAGGTTGACTTGCCTGCACCCTTGCCCATTGGGCAGGTGAGCTTTAATAGTTATGTACTTGCCCAGCAAGAAAATCTACTTGTTTTGGATGACCGAACAGGACATTTTTCAAGCCCTGATATTTAAATCAGCTGTTCCACAATACCTGAACTTTAGTGGATACATTAGAGCTAGCATGGCTTGAGTGGCATGTGTCAACTGTGAATAGCTGCTGGAGTAAAACAAGATTTTGTTCTCTGTCAATGCAGCACAGAACAAGGCCAACATGTTGTGGATACCTATTCAGAAATAAGGTAACAAGCTGGTAAGTATACATTTACATGTAGTAATGAAAATAATGACAACTGGATATTTTTTATTAATAAAAGAGTCTGCTCTCCAACAATTGTACATTTTCCAATTTTATATGAGCTGCAAACTGAACAGATACATTAAGCATAATACCAAACTGTAGCCTACACCCGTATATACTGAGCTACTGTTTCAGAAAAGTGTAACATTACTACAGGCGATTTATGCATGGTACAGTGTATACCTTAACAGTTCATTACACCAGAGTTGAGACTGCGAACGCAGGTGTATTTTCAGTCATCGCTTCTCTCCACCCAAAAAGTAATCATTCCTGTCCTGCCCAAGACATTAAAATATACTGTTTACCTTAAACCAAGACAAAGCAAAACCTACCAAGCTGATTGAACAAGATGGCAACTGATTTTCCTGTCACAGGAAGCGTCTCAGAGGCAGGAGGTGATAGAGTGTGACGATCGCCAGCTCCCATGGAAAATGTCATCTTGGGTCCACCAGGAGGTGGCACCTGAACAAATCCCAAGATACAGCCCACCAATCCTTCTAGTGACTTGGTGTTTCCAGAGAGGAAGGATAAATAGATTGTTGTCAGGCAGTTCTGCAATAAAGATGGTTTCACATCAGCAGGAACAAAAAAATTGACATTTATTTTTTGGTAATAGACACGGGAAGGTTGAGGAATGGCAAGAAGACTTCTTAAGCATGCACTGCAACAATACACTGTACACCAATGCATTGGTGGAGTGTGATACTTCTTCCCACGATACAGATATCAATATTCAAACAAAATATGCCAAAACGAAGAAATTAAATTTCTTTACTGGCATCACTAAATATTTTAACAGTTTCTCTGCAAAATGCCAATGGAATAATGAAGGAGTGCATGGGATAAGTGCCTGAGTGTCTCTTCATGTAAAAGCAAATTCTCTCTGGATTAATAAGACACGTATAACCAAGGCAAATTGGAGAAAGAAACTCAAAATTTATTAACAGAAACTTGGGGGGTTATTCCAGGCAGTAGAGGTGCATAATAGTAGGCCCTAAATGACTCTTAAGGTCACATCAAATAAATTACCGGTATGTCCTTTGATTCACAAGTGAATAAAAGGCAATATTGAAAGACAATCTAGCAGTTGGTCAGAAACGTCTATTTTTTCCTCAGGAAGCCCTTCAAATGTACATGTACACTGCAGCTTGTACCTATCAGTAAGAGCCCACCTTGTATGGAATCTTGTCCAGAGAGAAGAGTTTTGTCTCACAAGAATTAAGACGTGATTGGTTCAATGTATCTTACTTTCAGATAGTAAAACATGTTCAGTTACTCTCACATTCTCACTGGGACTATATTTAAGATGTAGTTATCATAAATAATAACTGTCAAATTTCAGTGGGTCAAAATTGTTAACAGCATTTTCCATGTGGTGATAATGCATGTCATAAAGTGTCAATCTAGTAGGTGAATAATAACAGGACAATAGGTTCCAGATAAAAACAATTTGTTCATAATAACAGACAAACCTTTAAGATGTCAAAGTAGCTGGCTCTTGAAACAAGACATAAGCACTTTGGTGCAAAAACATCCATTATCACTGCCTCTTCTGAGTTGACAGAGATCCCAGGCATTTCAGAAAACCGTTTCTCAGACAGAGAAGAATCTGACTGACTCTCATCTCTAAATCCTTCCTTACTACTTGAGTTTGCTAGTTTTTTCTTTGACTTTGTTGGAGTGCATCTTTCATGGAATGTGAAGCATGCACAATATCGGTGGTCTCCCTCCATATCTGTGAGCACAGCAACAAAGAAAGTGGGGGGCTTGTAGTAGTTTGAGTAGTTCCATCCTCCAGGCTGGCAAAACTGAGCAAAAAATAGAGATAAATGCTTAGCAATTGCATTACATTTAGCATGAGAAAAAAGAAAACATTTCACAATGTCACCACCGGTTCCCCTGTGAAATGACACCTGAGGAATGAACACATAAATTGCACGCCAATGTATGTAGAACTACCCACATCTGGCTAGTACTTCTGTTTGTATATGCCACAAAGGAAATTTACTTCAACCAATCAGAAGCACTTCCCAGATCTGAGAAATGATGCATCATCAGAATGGAATTTCTGTACTCATTCCCCAGGCCTTATCTCGCAGTGGTATCAGTGCTGAAGTTGTGAAATGTCAGCTGTTTTCTCTGGCTACATTGCATTTTGCTAACTACCAGACCAATGCACTTTAGATCACAGATGATGTCAAAATGTTGAAAGACCAAACAACTGGCCAACAAGCTGAGGGCAAGGTTGCTTACTGGTGTTATTACTACATAACTAGCAGTAGCCATTGGCTAGGAAGTGCGAGTGAACATGTGGGTTTACCTTGCAGGTGTGATTGATGAGATTGTGTAGGTGAATCAAATCAGAGAAAGCCCTTTTAGTTCCAGTGTCAACAAAAGGAATCACTGCCATAAACAATACTCATATTTAATTCAACGATTTTATTCACAATTGCTTAGGTACAATTAACAGCCTGCAAATGGTGAGGAGTGAGGAAAGAAGGCTGTATTCACAGGCAAAGATACGATGAAACAATAATGTCTGACACAAATTAAGTAATCATGACTGCATGAAGTCTTATTAAATTGTTAAATTGTTCAATCGAATATTCAATCCCAGTTCAATGACCGAACGCTGTTGATATCCAGTACAAAATAATGAAAAAGCTTTAGTTTACCACTGGAGTTAAAAGCCTATTGAAGCTTTCAGGTGACAAGCGACATAACATGCTTGAAAACATATAAAAATATAAAAACCATCCACTGGAGTGAAACCTGAATAAATGTAACACTCATATCTTACCAAAAACTTGTCCTGCACTAAGCTGAGATCAGGCTCTACTTTCATTCTCCTGGGTAAATACATGTACATTCCCAGCCGACAAGGCGAATTAAAAAGTCTCACATTTAGTACAGTATCAATACAGTACTTGTGTACCTGAATTATGTGTGGTTGCGAATCGCATCACTTGCATGTGCGTGCATGTGATTACAGTGACGTCAGACTGACCTTAAACTCAACACCGGGGCCTTTGCGGCCACATACCATGCATATTAGTCAACAACACAAGCACCCCAAGAATGTGGATAGACTTTAGAAAAACCTCCAAATACAGTTAATGGAGTATCACTGACCAAGATTAGTCTGTAGGCTCCTCTTGTTGCCCGCAAAAATTTATTGAGGCCCCTCCTAAACTATCAAACGTTTCAGTCCATTATCACATTTGTCTAATACGACACTGCATGGCTAAATGGGTGCACAATGTTCGAAAAAGACATAAAACAAAGCGAGCTCACACAACACTTTCTGAGCATGGCCCCTGAGAGTTAACGACTTGGTGTCTTATTGGTTGCTTTTCCCCCTTTGGCTTGCTTCGTTAGCAAAAGTGGCTAAATGATAAAATCACACTTTGTGTTGGACAAAAATATTAATTTTGATCTAACCAAAAGGGCAACGTAAAAATAATGCCAAGTTAAGAAACATCTAAACTGTCAGACATGCTCTTAGCTTTTAAGATGATATTGGATGGAAATGTTTGACTGTTTATTAGTGACTTAAAGTACAAACTATGAATTTCTGGAGCAAGCACTTTGATGGAAGTATTGTAATGCAAGTCTTTTTTCTCTGTACACAACAAGAATACCTTTAAGGTGCAGTATAGTAAAAGACAAAAAATAGTTTAAGAATGTGCAGGAAACTAGAAGTGCAAAGAGCCCACTAAAAAGGCCAAGGAAATTAAGTACAAATCGATCATCATTGAAAATAAACAAGAGACACTGATAACATCTAATAAGATGTCAAGAAATTCATCTCACTGTAGGTTAGAGAAAGGATTTTGAAATAAGATCAACACCAACAGACAGTGAAAGATTAATAAAATGCAAACAAACCGGAGCAAATATTGTGCCTTGACACAAAACAGTGAATAAAATGTCCGTTTGAAATTCATACACTACAGGAACAAGTGCATACTTAACAGTTATGTTTTGGAAAGAAGAACAATTTCAAACCAATTCGATACACTGCATCATTCAGCGAGATTAATTCACAGGAAGAGATCCACATAAAAACCATTTTAACAACAATAAAACAAGATAAGTTTTAAGCCGCTAAATGATTAAAATCATGAGCAGGAACATCCAATATTACTAGGCAAACATTTTGAAATATACCGGTAGTAAACGTAGCTAAGAGCAGTATTACGTAAACTAGAACTACTGGCGTCGTGGCTTTTAAGCAACGCAGAACTTTCCCCTCATTCGTCTTTTAGGCGTCTTACAAGTCAAAGATTACAACAGGTCAGCATGATCGAAAGACTAACAATTCCATGCAATTGTATCATAATTACGCGAACCCACTTCATGCAGTTGAAAAGATTCCACCCAAGTAACACTTGGAAAGAACTTGAAAACGCAAGTTGTAATTCTTCACTTTTACAAATGGCTTCCTTTTAATACGCATGAAGACTCAAAGTAAGTGTAAGAATAGGCAGATTTGAACGGATGCTTGACAAAAGAATGAAATGAGAGCATTATGAATTGTGCTTCGCAAAGCTTCCGCGAAATTACGTGAAACTTGTACGAGGAGAAATTTAGCCGGCTTTCAAAAGAAATAGGGTTACCAGTTCAATTCCTTCTGGAAAGGCTGCATCTTTGCGATCTTTACTTGGGAAGCGCTGAATCACTCTTCCTCCAACTTCTTCTGAAAAGTAAAGACAGGGAGAAAGGTCGTCGGTGAGAAAGTCGCGAACTTTCCAGAGGCGTGCAATGTTTGTTTAACATTTTTTGCTTAAAGATGCCCAACCAAGGGCAATTAAAGCGCTTTTACCATTCTTTGAGTCCCTGTCTATTCCACAAATGACAAAATAATCTGCAAGACGGGACATTTCTTGAGCTGGAATGTCATGTAGGCAACCATATCCATACACCCTTTCGTTTGGACGCCATTTTGGATTGGGCTACGCGCATGCGCTTCAGCCTCGACTTGGAAAGGTGTGGCAGACAGCCGGGGAGGTGTTTTGATCTTTGTGGCATTTCTTGGACAAAGTTTAAATTTAAAACCTTCACGAATGTTACGAATGTCCAATTTTTTACAAAGAATTTCATTTACAAATTTTAATCTCAGTTTGACAGTGTTTTCGGCCTAGTTCAACGGCAGTCTTTCACAGTACAGGGGCAAATCCAGAAAATTCAGAAAGAGGTGGCCAGGACACATAACGGCTCTATTCTAGATACTGTTTATTTCTCTGCGACGGAATTCTATGAAAATAATACAACGTTTCAAAGGAAAAAGGGTGGCTGCAGCCCCCTTGGCTCACCCCTAAAATCCACCCATGCAGTAATGGCAAAATGTTCCTGTAATTATGATTGGTAGGGAGAACTCCATGACATTACCAGGCATCTTTTTGGGAAGGATGGGAAGAAAAAACCTGCATGCTAGGGAGCAGGTATGATCCCAGGCTATCAAAGACACCAATCAATGTCTCCAGTTCCCCTGGAGGGAGGGAGGGGCGGGTACTCCATACTGCGGAGTTGGTAGTGTGTGATTCATTTCATATTGCGGTCTTACTTCATAAAGGCCTGCTGGGAGGGAGACTGTGCCCAAGAGGGTTACTTTTTGATAAAATCCTACTTAAAAATGGCAAGTGTTCTTGAGTAGGTATGTGACGGGACGGTGTCAATGTCAGGTATGCGCTTACCAAGTGATTTTGAGAGGAGGTCTTTGCTTTCTACTTTTGGTTGGGTTTGTAGAAAACAAAAACCCTGGTCAAAATAATAATTAAAGATACTGTTATTTCTAACACATCTCAGCTCAAATTAGCCATTCAGAGTGATGTTGAGGGGGGTCTTTGTTTTTGGGTCTTCAGTAATCAGTCTTCATTTTCTACCCACCACCTTTTTTCCCACTTCTATAATGTTTTCAATCAAATCATATCTAAGCTAAATTGGAAACTGCAAGGCCATATCACAACCACCAAATTATTAGAGGAAATGGGCAGCCTAAAGCCAGTACACCCTCATTTTCCCTTTGAACAGGACTACAGAGCAAAACTAAGGTTCCCCTTTCAATCACCACAGTCCCTTCAAGAGAATTATCTGTTGATCTTTTCCAGAAGCAGAGGAGGATGGAGGATGGGATGGGAGTGGATGGTTTAATATCCACCACAGGACTTGGTCTCTTCTAGCTGGCAAGCAAGTTGTCAACAGTTGGGGGTCAAGAATGATGGGATAATAAAAGCCTGCCCTCTTTTCCCTCCCCTCTTTGAACTACACCTCCTGAGCCTGCCTGCTCACAGGATAGGTATCCACTATTTGTCATTGTTATATTCCTAGACTTTCACTCAACTAAATGGGAACTGCCATTGGTTGATTCTTGGTCACATGGCCTTGACTAAAATCAAATGTATCCCAGTTGTGATACATTCAAGCAATAATTGTACCACGCTCGGTATACATCAGTCCGCAGATGATCAAAGCATGGTGGACCGTGGCTTGACAGAAGGTGGGAAAAACAATGCCAGTTTTCACTTTAGGGAATGAACACAACATGGGGTCCACAACACAAACTTTAATTTAAGGCTCAAGCTTAAAAAGCCTGATTTTCAAAGTTATCCCTGTAGAGAAACAGCAGCTAGTGGAAGTAAAGATGCAGATGATATAAGGAAACTACTTTGTAAATAATTCATTAAGTGGTCTTTAGAATAAAATTTGCGTTCTTATAAGAGCTGGATTGACTGTTTTGATTTGCTTTGGTCATTCTTTTGTCGCTGTTGAAGTGAAAATCTAGAAATGTAACAACACACTTAATGTCAGTTTCCTTGGGAAACCAGTTAGTTTTGTTTTCCCTCGAGAGCTGATGTTCCCCTTGACTTCACCTAAGGAAACATCAGGACTATCGGCAAAAACAAAACTGTTTCCCGTGGCCTCCCTTTGATTAGTGAGAACCACAAGGACATTGTCTTCGTCCGCTATCTTGTTTTTCACTGGGTTGAGGAGAGCTGGTATCCAGAATTGAGTCAAATATGCCATTCTGCGTGTGTGTATGTCCTTATGCTTATGCTTATGCGCTAGTGAAAACCAGGCATGTTCACCCCTGATGCTCAGCTAAATAGTGCCTGTCATGTAGGCAAGTTTAGGTAGGATTCCAAAGAAAATAATCACCTAAGTTGAGTCAGAATGAAAAACCTGGATCAGACCTCACTGAATTAACTCCATCCTGTGACCCTATCCCTAACCTTTTGTCATTAAGTGAGCTACAGGGGTTAATCCAATCTTGTTTGATCAAGGTTCTGATGACTCCTGTTAAGTTGTTCCCAAAATTGAAGGGATGCAAGAAATAAGGCCCCTATTGTAAGTGATTGCTGAGCTAATATGCGGAATATAGCTGATTCACAATCATATACAAGAAAAACTGGAAGTAGGATATAGCACTTTAGCAGATGTCACTTGGGCTTCATTCCAGACACCTCTCCAATCAAAAAAAACTTAAGACCAAAATTTGATCCAAAGTAATTTAATTTTTATTAAATTTCTGTATATTTTATTCCCTTGATACTCCAAGAAAGGCTAAACAGAGCAAAATAATAAAAAATATATTTTTCTCTGTATGTATTGCACATGTCAGAATGACACTTTGTTACAGTTCTCTTCAAAACAATGACACAGAACATAAAAAAGAATTTGTGAGCATTCTCCAGTTCGTTCTTATACCTAACTTACCTCCAACAGTAAATGGTAACCCAGATGAAAAGTGAATACAGATCAACAGTTGTCTATCAAGATATGTTCACAATGTGTAAAATCATCCCACCGCCAAGCTAACAACAATGGTTCACCGGCTGTATCTCTTAGCATAATTCATTCAAAGAACATAGAGAATATGTTGTGGTATAATTTCAGACCACTGGGTAATTGGTTTAAAACATTATTTTCCTTTGTGCTTTGGAATGGTAACGTACGATAATGAGCCAGGAACAAAGAGCAAAAGATTTGAACCAAGAATATAATATTATTGTATCAGAACAAACAGTAATTCATACAATCTTCATCAAAAAAACCCAAATCAATGTCAACAGGATCAGCCATGAACAATCACTTCATTTTTGAAAAGATCTTCTAACAAAACAAGTGTCTGTAAAGCAGACTTTACACTGTCAGCATCACTGTCATTCTGAACAATCATCTTCAACCAGTCATGAAGCTCAAACAGTTCCCCAGGGGCATCATTCACCAAAGATGAAGATGGAACAGAAACTGCAACCATGGCCTGAGCAAAGATCAGTGACTGTCGCACAAATGGCTCTTGATGATATTTTAATGCCCAGGTAAATTCTAACAGTGCTGTCCCCATGTTTCTTGCGATAGGTGTTTCCCGGGCAGAGTACATGATTATTCCAAGGGTGTAAATAAGACGTCCAAGGACAAGAGTATCTCCACCCAAGAGATCTAATGTGTTCACCTTACTGTCAAAGTTTTTCATCAAAGGGAAAAAAAAGAAACCAGCAACACCAGCAAACTTATTAGCAACAGCTAGGGGCTGTGGTTTGGTTGGCCCTTTGACAAACCTCTTTGTCTTACTGTTTATTCTCTCTTGTACAATCTTCTGCCACTCTGGAATAATTTCTGGCATTTTAGCAGAAGCTGCTTGAGGGAATGAAAATTTTCTTGGCACTGCTCTCATCTTGGTAACTTCTGCAGGAGCTGAGAGTTGTTGTGCGGCATCAGCAAGAACATTTAACATGTCCATGCGTTGTTGGAGATTGTAGTTGGGAGCAAAAAACTCTTCTGTCAAATAACATGCAATTTGCTGAGGACACCTAATGGTAACTGATACCATGGCATTATGGCGGAGCTCACAAAACTTATCAGTGGAGTATTTGTCCTGAAGGTGAAGCAGCAATTTAACCAATTCTATACTAACATCTTCAAGATCATCTAAGCCAGCATTAATGAGCTTCTGTAAAGCTTTAAGTGACCCTTCTGTCTTAGGTGGATCATCTGATGCTATAAGGCCATCTATGCAGTCGCGTAAATGCTTAGGAGAATAGGAGTTGCTATCTCTTTCCTCTTCATCATCAAGGTCATATGGCAACAACTCATCATCATCATCACTGGCATCACCATCATTCTCATGGGCACTCTTTTGGGAAGAACTGGCATGTTCTGGATTTGAAATCCCATTTGTTTCTGTTTCCTTGTTTTTCTCTGGATTGCCATTACACTCTTTCCAACTCTTCCCACTCTTCACCCTTCCCATGTCCATCCCCTCCTGCAAGCCTTTTGCTAACAAATGTAATAGTTTAGTGTCATCATCTTCAGCATAATCAAACTTGAGTTTCTCCCCAGTGGGTTCAAGACTAGATGTGACACATTCTGCAACCACCATTCCAAGACGTCGTACCTTTTCCAAGGGGCTGTCCAGATGACTTTGCACACCAACCAACAACTTTGTAAGTAAAGCGTGCTTTTGCAATGCCTTCTCTTCTACACTCAAATGACTGAATGAAAGAACAACAGCACAAGTGATGTAAAAATGCTGATCATACGTTGCATGTTTAATCGCACTTTTATCAGCCCATACATCAAAGAGTTTCAGGAGTGTTTCCACTAACAAATGCCTGCGCTTACAACCAGATAAATATCCAATAATGTTGTGAAGTACATTGATGTTAGAATAGCACCTCATCAACAGAAACTTGGTAGTAAGCAGGTACTTGAGTTTAGAGCTGGTGAGAATTGAGTCACCTAGTAACTTGGCTATTAACATGGGGTTTTTAGCTGACTTGAGAAGTCCTTCTGCAACATGTTCCATGGTGTGGTCCGGGACACCAGTAATTAGTCTTGCACAAATTCTATTCCAAAGTGGACTTGTCTGCAGCCACTTCTCCAATGCTGGTAACAAAATGGCAAATGTAGTCTCTGCTTGTCCTGCCATACAAACTCTCCCAATCACCTCTCCAAGGAACTTAAATGAGCAATCGCATGACATTGACAGGTTGTCATGCAACTTTTCTAATGCCTTGAGAATCTGCTCAGCAAACATGTTAAAGTACGGCTCTGGGTAGAACAGTGAGCTACACTTCTGTCTCATCTTGTTTGCCACTCTCTGAGGAAGGGAAACCATTATGGTGATAAGCTGTCTCCATAACTTGCTTTCAAATTCAGATTGACTGAATTTTAAAGACGCACTTTCCGAAGACCTAGACACCTGGCATTGCTGTACAAAAATGTCAACCAACCTTCCTTCAGTGCAAAACTTCTCTAAGATGGAGACTACCACTTTAGTGTTTTTATGATTGGTGGTTTTCTTAGAAAGTACTTCCCCTAAGACAAGTAAACTGTCGTGAGAGGGACCACGGACGAAAAACACATCAAACAGCTCCCTTTTCTGTTCTTCGCTGAAACCACTGTAAAATCCAATCACTGGCGAAGAAAGAATACATTCAGCGAACCTCACAAAGTGGTTGTTTACAAACTCAGCCTTCAGGACCGCTCGTTTTTCAAGAGGAACTTTCGCGGGTTGCAGAGACCCTCGCAGAAAAAGCTCGACTACGTCGCTCAAAGGTTCGATCAATTCACTTGGGTTTGACACATCTGTGATGATGTTTTGCCGTTCACGGACAAACCTGCGCACCTTACAGGGTATCTGCTTATCCGAATGTTGCTCCATTCAACAGAATTAAAGGAATTAGGAACAGTCTTATAACCGCGTGTTGTCCGCCATGTTATTTACACTTCACGCGGATTGGATGCTGGGAAGAAGGTATTGCTGCGGGGGTAGTAAGACGGACGTAAAACGTACATTGGGGTGGGGGGTAGCCTGAACGCTTACGTGCCCTTCAAACAGGTTTGATAGAATATGGTTGGCATACTATATTCTGCCGCCTTTAAAAATAAAGAACACTTATTTTCTGCAAAACCTAACAGCATTTTTCGTCAACCGATCACAACGCACAAGCAAAATTTACTAATACCCCCAAAATAAACAAAAAGCTTTGAAATATTTTAGGTAGCATGGGGGGAGAGGGACGCCTGTACACAGGCTAGGGGAATGATGGCAAGAGGGAAAAGGCGAGCTTTCCCCCCCCCAACCTCAAGAATCAAATATATGGGGCTTAAGATAAGAGATGTGCATGAGAGAACAGGACATGCACGTGCACCTTTATCCCTCCCACTCAGCATCACCATTCTTCTTTGTGCCCAAAAACTTCTCAGGTGCCTGTGTCAATAAAAGAGGGTCCTCAAAAGGGCTCTCCAATCCCGTCATCCCAAGCCAAGGTTTTGCTCAATCCTGCGACCTCAATGGTTATTTTCGGCATTCTGCACCCTATGCATGCTTTCAATCCTCCCGAATCTCACCCCCATCTTGCTTTAAAATACTTGCCTGCATAACAGGCACTTTATGAGCCAAGGGAGGCCAATGCAGCATTTCGCGCAAAATGCAGCATTCGCCTCACTTGGCTCATAAAGCGCCTGTTACGCAGGGTAAATATTGAATCCCCGCCTTCAAATAAAGCAAATCCCGGATCCCGAAAAACATATTGGGTTCTTTCATTAAAAGCTAGAAGGTGTATACTACATGTCTGTAAAACCGGCCAAGGCCCGTATAAGCCAAAGGTATTTGCAGCATAAGATGAAAATAAAAAAGGTTCAACTGATTGCTGTTATCTGATAGCTTTATTTACTAATGAATATACATCATCATATCAAAAGCATAAATCATGACTACTCTCCTCACATTTTTGAATATGTCAAAATGAAATTGACAATACTATAAAACTATTCATAATATATTAAAATGTTCAATGACACTGTGCTAATAGTTTAGTAACTCTTGTATTAACATTTGTAAATCAAAGTTGGACACTGCAATAGCCCATAATATTTTTGAGCACTTAATAGAAAAAGCACTACACTCCCTCACAAGTATTACCCACACAAATCCATGAATAAAAAGAACAAACAAATCAACTTCATGCACATGTCTAGCGTAAAAATACTACGTGATTCACATTAACTTCTCATCTTAAAGTGGAAGCTGGTACTACTGCTGAAAAAATTCACTATGCCTAGTTGGTTTAACAATAATTGACTCAAAATATCATAACCTCTGTTTCAAGGTGAGATAGGAGACCAATCTCAATATATACGGGGCTCAAATAAGAGATAATACAGGATTTTATCAAGCCCAGTCTGACAGTTTTCGGGTTTCTTTTTTAGAATTTATTTACGCACGGCCCTAAGCGACCCAGCCCATCACTTTTGCCTGTAATCAAACAAGACTAGTAGCCCATTCGCAATGTGTTCAAGGTTTGCTCAAAGCTAAGGCTTTCAGTCACTGTTTCATTTTCACTGGCTGATTCTTAGCAAATATTTGGTTGATATACTAGGCTTTATAGAGGTTTGCAAATTGTGGGTGACTTGGTAAATTATGATAAGATCATGAAATTTCTGAAACAGTGATGAGAAGCTCAGTCCCATTTTTGTTTCAGTCCACCTTTAATTTTTTGAACTTACTCCCTGAGACCCTCCTAGGGGGTACATATGTCCCTGGTCTGAATTTCCAACATGTTTCTTTCCAGTTTTTAGGAGTAGGCCATGTCCCTGTTGGTAATTTTAACTCATCTTATTGTTGTTTGTCACTATGTCATCTCATCTTATGTCGCTGTTTCAAGGCCATGCCGCTTCTTGGAATTTTAACCTAACAGGGTCTCTAAAGGTCTCAAGTTTCCAAACAAGGTCTTGGCTTCTAAGCTATCTTTACATTAAACATTCCAGTGATAACTCAGTCCCATTTCTACAAAAATAGCACCGAGTGCCCATCATCTGTTCAAGTTAATTAGAATGAACAGCAAAGTTTTTTGAGTGTTTTCTGTACATCATAGATGGACTCACTTTACTTGCTTCTCTTAGACGGTACTTTTTCATGTCCTTATTCTTTTGATAACAAGAATAGGGGCATAACATATCTGTGAACTCCTCTTTAAATTCCTTGCTCCAGTAACCCAAAAGAAGGGCAAATGAGGCAGGAAAACAATAGGTCATAATTTCTGTTAAACCATCAGCAACTTCATGAATTCCTTCAGTGTTGCTATTGTCCAAAAGAAGGAAAATGCACCTCGGAATCCAAAAGATCACAAAACTCAAAGTTATTCGTACAACGATTTTCGACCAAGTTGACTCTTTGGCGACGGAGGGAAAATCAGCATAATCCAAATTCTTCATTTGTCTTCCGTGGACATCAATAGTGTGAAGATGACTCACTGCAGTTTTCATGACTTTCCACTGCAAGATTAGCATGAGGAATGTCGGGGTTAGGACTTCGATGGACACGAAAACGTAGACGTAAACCGTTGTGTACGTCTTGCTCAACTTGCAATCCAAGGATTTTGGAAAATCGTTGTCCAAGTTGGCAAACAGGAACGACACAAGAACCGCAGTGCTCCAGCAAAGCACTATGAAGCCGAAAGTGCGACAGTTGGTGAGAAATTTTTGATACCACTTGTACCTCGCGATCGAGAAATATCGATCCAAGCTCATGGCTGCCAGCGTATAAACAGTAACTGTACAAAAGAGTACAAAGAAACTTCCGTACGTTTCGCACAGCCTTGGGTTCTCGAACCACGCACTCTTGTCCAAGAAACTCATTACACGAAGAGGCATTACTACCCCAGCCATAAGCAAATTCGCCAAAGAAAGACTTGCGATGTAGAAATGAGTCCGGAAGCGTAGGTTCTTGCTTTTGACAACAGCAGCGATGATCAAAAGATTACCGAACGCGGTAAACAAAATCAAAATGGCGAACGCGACGCCGTTTATCAAGTCTCCTACACGCCACAGTTCCTTCAAGCTTGCACTTGTAGCTGATTCCTCGGTAGATAACATCGTGGAAGAAGCCGTTTTATATAATGGGGCCATGAAAGTTCGCAAAAATGGCAGTCTTTTACCGAGCTGGATTAAATCGAATCCGACGCAAGCAGCTGTTCTCTATGCAATGCGCTTCAGTTCTGCTTCGCCTCTCAAATGACCATAGCCAGGCCTGAAGGATCTTTAACTAAAAATTTTCGCTTGTATCTCACCAAAAGTGTTCACTGCGTTTCTACTTTAAACAGAGCGCAATCGTGGGCAGTCTTGTGTGTTTTTTTTTTTCAAAAACACTTCCTTGAGGGTGTAGACAAAACCTGGGCCTGGCCCATGGGCTAGCCCATGGGCTACCCTATGGGCCACCCTATGGGCCACCCTATGGGCTACCCCAAAATTTAAAAAATAAATAAAAAAAATTAAAAAAAAGAGAGATCGCACGAGGCTTTAGGCAGTAAGGATTTAATCGCTTTGTTTGCTACGTGATTTAGTATTGAGAATGGCTCGTTATTTGTTCGTCGCGTAAGCAATTGAGGTGAGCATTACTTTGTTAATAATGGTTCAATAGCTGATTCTCCCTATGGGGGAATCCCATAGGGGGAATCGGCTATTAACGGTCTTGAATTGTTGGATTTGAAAAGGGCTTGCTTAAATAAACACTTAGGCTGAAAAGTTTGCCGACTGAAAAAACGATGGGACCCCAATTTTTTGTGGGAAATCGAATGACATGATTGTCGTCCGTGACAAACTGAACAAGATAATTCGGTGTTATCGTTTATGGTTTATGCTTTTCACAGCGACAACGTTTTTTTTCAATTAGGTATATACATGACCCACCCCCCCCAAAAATCTACCCTACCTAGCAATTCCACCCTTCTAAGAGCTTTATTCAGTCAGAAAACCATCATGACCCACCCCTCTAGGGGCTCAAAGAAGAAATGACCCACCCTTTGCCAAGGCTCAAAATTGCTGAACTGCCTTTTTTTTTTTTTTGCTCCAGCCGACCCCACCCCCTATACTTTTTTACCAGTCCATGAAGAGACTAATGGTAAACACAAATTCTCATTTTTTTAAATAATTGTAAAACACAAACGTTATGTACAATACCAATAAAACAGAATGTTGACCGGATCACGTGATCTCCTAGGTAATGATAAAGAAACTGCGAAAACTGAAGAGATTGTTACACAGAGATTGTTACCTAGTTGTATATTTATTTGACATGAAACAAAACTAGTTGAGTCTTTCTTTTAAAATTTCTATGTCGCCGCTATCTAGGGAACTCAGAATGTTCACTTGACTGGGGTCAAAGTGTGGATTTCTTGCCCGAATGCAATTTCCATATAAATGGAAGTGTTTGTTCTCAAATGTTTTTTTGTACTTCTGTTGGCTCTCGATCCACACAAGGTCGTGCTCTTGGTGGCGAATGCAAAATTTGTTGTCGATGTCCCCCTAGAGAAATTGTCTGGCCCATCTCTGATGTTGCCCTTGCATCCTGCTGCACATTTTTAATTCGTGTGGTGAGTCCAATTAGTTCAAAAGGGGTGTTCATTGTGGGTTGTACTGCTGGCTTCGGAGGCTTGCTTCTTCTAAATGTTATTCTAAGCGGTTGATTAGAAGATGTCTCAGCGGTATATCTTGATGCCGATCGATCACCACTTGCCATTAGATCTCCAAGCGTCTTTGTTTGTGTGTTCCGTCCTAACTGGCTTGACTGAGTCATAACGTCCGGCGACTTATTACGGCGCATTCTTGCTGGCTTTTTGGCACCCGCACTTTTGTTAACCGCAAACGTTGTCAGTGCAGTCAAGTTGTCCTTCTTTTCTTGTTGTTGATACCATTTTACATAGCCCGTAACGTTCCTGTTGTGAGCAGCAACTGCGACAGTGTGGGCACAAATTTTTCGCGACTTGAAGCCCAAACACTGCTTATCGCAAACATATCCGTTGTCTGCAAGTCTTTTCACCATGTGGGGCGTTTGCTGAGACTCACTTTTCACGAGAAAACAGTTTTTTCAAACCCAGCACGGATGTTTTTCTCTCGACAAAGCCTCTGCGCCTTCTCGCCAAGCAGCCGCAGATCTTTTTCTGTGAACAAATCTGACAGAGCATTTAAGTTAATTGCAGCATCTTCACGATTCAGTTGAGATTTTGGCGGAGCAGGTCGATGGCCGTAAACTTTCTTGAAATTTTCTGCATCAACATAGGCTTTTAAATTGTTAGTGGCGTTATCGCGATCACCAGGTTGTTGGTCAAAAAGGTATCAGTTCCTTTTACGGAGCCTTGGTACTCAGGCCTCAGTATATACGGGCTTGAAAGCCCCAGCAATGCCCGTTGAACATCACGTCGCTGTTTGGTGATGAGGCCCCTACAATCCTCGATAAAACTGGCCATGTCTGTGGCTTGGAAGTCTTGCCATCGTCTGAGAAAAGCATTTGCTGACTCTGAAATGTTGTTGGCTTGTACTTCGTCCTCAAAACCCGCATTTTGGATGCTTTTCGCTGTAACGTGGTTCCAAATCTCCTCTGCCTTGTAGCGTCTGAAATATTTGGAAAACGCGAGTTCCTCCGGTGAGTCCTTGAATTCCTTGCGGTCCCATTTTTCGGTCAACGAGTTTAACTTTTGGTTGTACTCCTCGTAGGAGTCGGCGTATACTAGACCCCCACTGCCAAAAATGTCATGAACTATCTCATTCGTCAGCGACTGGGAAAACCGAAGTTTCCGACATTTTTCCTCAATGTTTTTCTGTGCGTGTACTTTGCAAAGCAATGATGCGGAGTTGGGAAACACCTGGGCTAGTGCTTGACGCAGCGCTTCCTCTGAATCAGTGCAATACCCCTTAAGGTTTACTTGCAAACCTGGTAAGAGTGAACTGCAGCTTAAACTGAAGCTACATAAACTTACTATGGAGAATTGAATTGTGACTCAGTAAACTCCAGCTTAGTGTTTTTCTAAGGATAGTGTGAGTCTTTTGACTGGAGCGCGTAGTTCCTCCCTTGGTAATAGCTTTGAATAAGCTTAACAGTCTTTAAACTGTTTTGTTATTGCCACAGTTTGTGATCAGGCAAGACCATGGTTTCGGTTCTCCTCACGAACCTCATCAGTTGCCGGGTTGGCTTTGTGCTTAGTTGCTTTTGCAGGAGCAACTTTAGTTGTACTTTGTTGGAATAAGCAGCATTTTGACATGAGGTAAAAGTCGTGTAGGCCTACCACCCCCTTTTATTGTCACGCAACGCACAACAATTTGCATATAGATTCTAAAGCCTCGTTTTCGTGCCTCGAGGTCGTGACGGGTAAAAAACGTCGTTGGAACAGCGCGTGCGTAGAAAAAGGAGTCAACTGTTTTTTCTTCTCTTATTATTTTTTTTATTTGTTATAATTTTATAATTTTAAATTTATAATTTTAAATTTATAATTTTAAATTTATTTTTAAATTAGGGGTGGCCCATAGGGTAGCCCATAGGGTAGCCCATGGGCTAGCCCATGGGCTAGGCCCAGGTTTTGTCTACACCCAAAAAAAAAAAGAGAGATCGCACGAGGCTTTAGGCAGTAAGGATTTAATCGCTTTGTTTGCTACGTGATTTAGTATTGAGAATGGCTCGTTATTTGTTCGTCGCGTAAGCAATTGAGGTGAGCATTACTTTGTTAATAATGGTTCAATAGCTGATTCTCCCTATGGGGGAATCCCATAGGGGGAATCGGCTATTAACGGTCTTGAATTGTTGGATTTGAAAAGGGCTTGCTTAAATAAACACTTAGGCTGAAAAGTTTGCCGACTGAAAAAACGATGGGACCCCAATTTTTTGTGGGAAATCGAATGACATGATTGTCGTCCGTGACAAACTGAACAAGATAATTCGGTGTTATCGTTTATGGTTTATGCTTTTCACAGCGACAACGTTTTTTTCAATTAGGTATATACATGACCCACCCCCTAAAAATCTACCCTACCTAGCAATTCCACCCTTCTAAGAGCTTTATTCAGTCAGAAAACCATCATGACCCACCCCCTCTAGGGGCTCAAAGAAGAAATGACCCACCCCTTTGCCAAGGCTCAAAAATTGCTGAACTGCCTTTTTTTTGCTCCAGCCGACCCCACCCCCTATACTTTTTTACCAGTCCATGAAGAGACTAATGGTAAACACAAATTCTCATTTTTTTAAATAATTGTAAAACACAAACGTTATGTACAATACCAATAAAACAGAATGTTGACCGGATCACGTGATCTCCTAGGTAATGATAAAGAAACTGCGAAAACTGAAGAGATTGTTACACAGAGATTGTTACCTAGTTGTATATTTATTTGACATGAAACAAAACTAGTTGAGTCTTTCTTTTAAAATTTCTATGTCGCCGCTATCTAGGGAACTCAGAATGTTCACTTGACTGGGGTCAAAGTGTGGATTTCTTGCCCGAATGCAATTTCCATATAAATGGAAGTGTTTGTTCTCAAATGTTTTTTTGTACTTCTGTTGGCTCTCGATCCACACAAGGTCGTGCTCTTGGTGGCGAATGCAAAATTTGTTGTCGATGTCCCCCCTAGAGAAATTGTCTGGCCCATCTCTGATGTTGCCCTTGCATCCTGCTGCACATTTTTTAATTCGTGTGGTGAGTCCAATTAGTTCAAAAGGGGTGTTCATTGTGGGTTGTACTGCTGGCTTCGGAGGCTTGCTTCTTCTAAATGTTATTCTAAGCGGTTGATTAGAAGATGTCTCAGCGGTATATCTTGATGCCGATCGATCACCACTTGCCATTAGATCTCCAAGCGTCTTTGTTTGTGTGTTCCGTCCTAACTGGCTTGACTGAGTCATAACGTCCGGCGACTTATTACGGCGCATTCTTGCTGGCTTTTTGGCACCCGCACTTTTGTTAACCGCAAACGTTGTCAGTGCAGTCAAGTTGTCCTTCTTTTCTTGTTGTTGATACCATTTTACATAGCCCGTAACGTTCCTGTTGTGAGCAGCAACTGCGACAGTGTGGGCACAAATTTTTCGCGACTTGAAGCCCAAACACTGCTTATCGCAAACATATCCGTTGTCTGCAAGTCTTTTCACCATGTGGGGCGTTTGCTGAGACTCACTTTTCACGAGAAAACAGTTTTTTTCAAACCCAGCACGGATGTTTTTCTCTCGACAAAGCCTCTGCGCCTTCTCGCCAAGCAGCCGCAGATCTTTTTCTGTGAACAAATCTGACAGAGCATTTAAGTTAATTGCAGCATCTTCACGATTCAGTTGAGATTTTGGCGGA